ATGGCGTTTGCCGCGTCAGGTCCGAGATCTGTGGATGGTAGTTGAGTTCCCCAAAAGGGAAACCCCCGGGTTCAAGTCTACCTTGGGGTAGTCAAAAGGCAGAACCCTGTGTGGATGGACAAACTCCTGCAATCGGGATAGATGAAAGCACATGGGAGTCACAGCCTGGTTTATGGATTTGGTCCAGCCACAAGTGGGGGACCGGTTTTGGCCAAACGGTTGGTGCTCACCCTCGAAAGCTGGGGGATATGTGGAAAGGTCTTCTCGTGTCCGGCGAAAAGCCGCATGTTCGCGGGCGATTCGGAGGTCTCGCATGGAATGCAAGCCGCTTCGGCCGGGAAGGAAGCAAGTTGCCAGCAGGCTCAACCAAATCATGTTTGCGGCAATCAACCAGGCAACGTGTGCTCAAAGATGGCTTGCTTCTGGTGCCGCCATGCACCCCTTGACTGAGTTGAGTCGCAATCAAATCCCTCGTATTCAAATGGTCTACCCAAATCCATGTAAAGAATTATAAGTGCCCCCCCGCAGAACAATTTCTGGCTGGGACTGCCCCTGTTCTAGCCTTCCCTGAGTCGGGTTCTGTGTGGTCAGACTCCGATAGTAGTGACCAGCCACTTGAAGGGCAACCAGCCTCGTGGGAGGAAAAACCAAATTGAAAAAAGCAACACGGAGGGCGGTTTGTGGGTTCGAGAGTCCTCTCGAAGCTTTGATCCAGGGTTCAAGACATACCTCCGCAGACTCCAGCCTCGTTCTGCCATTGACCCTTGCCTACGCAAAAAGCCAAGCGCATTGTCGGCTCTATCCTGCTGAGTCAGGATTGGGGCAAGGAGTTGTGGCGACCGCGCGCTTTGCGGTGTTGGGTATAACTTTCTCCTAAGGGTTGAGTCATGTCCGAGGCAGCCCGGGCCAAAGCAAGCTGCCTGCCATGTGGACAAAGCTTTGAGAGCCGAAAGCTTCCTTTCAGAGCCAGCAAGATCAACTTGAACAAGCCTGGCCGAGTTTTCTTTTCCGCCGAGTGTCCGCCAGGGGGGTCTTCGAGCAAAGCATCTTCGGCCTAGCCTGGGTCCAGACAGTCAGTGACTCACAGAACTTCATCCTAACTCCCCCCCCCTCTCTTGGGGCTATTTTCAGAAGGAAAATCAAGCTCTGAGGATCCCAAACTCGACAACACCCATGTTGAAAACATGAGCTTATTTTTGCAACAGCTCGTCTATGCTGCTGCCTTGGCACGTGGCTCGCAAGCTTGTTTTTCTTCTTGTCTGGGATATGTGTGTGTTGTGTGTTTGCTGCCTTCTAACAGGGCCGCCACTTCTCATAACAACTGGGCGTTCCTGAAACACAGTTGAACTGGTCCATGTCGTACCCAAAAAGTAGCGGTTTCCTTGTGGATCAAACCCAGCCGAAAAGGATACCCTCCAAATCACCCACACATCCAACAACCCATAGTAATTTGACCAGTCCAGTTTGTCTGATCATGGCCAATAGCAGGCCATTGTTCCTGAGGATGCTAGGGCGAAGAAAAGAATCCCTGTTCATCCCCTGGGTTTTGGTTTTCATGCGCACCTTCCAGGCCAATCTCGCACCGTCCCAACCTCAGGCCCGATCTCTCGGCCCCAGGGAGTGGTGAGGGCGCGCCACACGGCGCCAGCGGGCGGCGCGAAAGGACGGCCCTCGCGGTTCATGACCTGAACGGAGACGTCTGGTGGAGACGTCTGGTGCCCTCCCCACCATTTTAGCACGGAACCTGACCAGGGGGCCGGTCCAAGACCATTTTCCTTTGAAAGGGACCGGTGAAAAAGGGTGGGAGGGTAGATCAAGGACTTGATTACCGTACCAACAAGTAACATGGAACTTGACGTTCGGGGGGTGCTGGAAGACGATTTTCCATTCAAAGGGACCGGGTCCCGAACGTTAGGTTCCATGTGAAAAAGGGTGGGAGGGTAAATCAAGGATCCTTCGGTGGACATTATTTACATGGTGCGCAGCCTACTTGCACCAAATCCTTTTGAGTCACTGAAATTACCTGATGTGACCCGGTCCGACTTTCTGGCAGGTTGGGCCCTGATTCTGCGGCACATGGGAAATACACTGCTGGAGTCGCATCCCTATAATTGACCCACAAACTAAGGTTTCAAAGAGGGCCTCATAGATTCCGCAAGCACCTATCCGATGCGCGTTTGCTGTGGTACTGCCAAAAGTCCAGGCAAGTGCTTCCCTCCAAGCGTGACAGGCTGCAAAATGACAGGCCAAGCCTGACATGCGACTTTGAATCAGGGCCCACGGACCCTTCTGCAGAAAACCAACGTGATCAACCTTCTGCAAGGCTCCAGCAACACCAACACACACCAACACACGCCACCGCGACACCACACAAATGCACACACACACACAATACGACACGACACAACACAACACAACACAGCACAGCACAGCACAACGCAACACACGTGCACAAAGGAAAACAACACATGCATGTGAAACTACGGTTTGTTGTTGTTTTCACATGTATTATATCTATCTACATCTATACATCTATACTTTGTATACGTGTGTACGGTTGTGTGCAGAGGCATCCCCCAGCACCGAGAGCCAAAAGACCGGAGGGCTCTCAGCCCGAGAGCTGAGCCCGAGAGCTGAGGCCGCCCACGCCATGCTCGGGATCCATGCACGTCTCTCTCTGCTGAAGAAAAACAAATCGGGGCTCGGTGAGAACACCTGGGACCAGCGCCTCCAACCTTTAAAAAAAAAAGGCAAGAAGCAACAAAAAGGGCTGGGACCTGGAGAACCGCCTCAAGTTGGAAAGGGGGAAAGAATGAAAACGGGGGTTTAAGGTTCTTTTCAAGCGCGGCCCGGAAAAAGACTCTTCGCTGCTCGGATATCAACGTCCACCTTGAACCTTGAGAAAAGAGAGCGGGTGAAAAGGCCGGGCGATCGTGATTCGGAGCGGTGCTTCCGAGCAACCTGTCTTGCCAATGGTCAGTTTCCCCTTAAATGGTGGTTTGGGTTTTTGGTGTGGGATTTGAACCGTTCCTTTTGAACCCAAATGGGAAAGCCAAGTAGGGGGAAGTTGAATTGGCCAATCCAAACCCACCAATCCAAACCACAGATTCAGGGGGTGCCTGACCCCAATGGTCCCCCAACCGTATAAGATGACCTTCCCGTTCGGCTTTCTTGGTTGACGTTGGAAGGGGAGCAACAATTTGATTTTAGCAGTTAAGTGGGGATTTCAAGCAGTAAACCACAATAAGCAAAAATTGTCAAAATGTGTCCCAACAACAACCATGCTTTTGGGTCAAAGCAGGCAAGCGAAACTCTGCTTCGGGTGCTTGCCAAGACCTTCAAACATCTCATCGCGATGTGCTTCCCCTAGGCACACACCAAAACAAAAACAGTCCGACGCGGAGAAAGAAAAGCACTTGAAACTCGCTTCCTGAGTGGATTGGCTAAAAAAAGTCCGGACTTCTAGTTTGCCACCAAAATGGTCTTCCCAAAAAGAATGTAGTCCAGGAACTCAGGAAGTGAGTAATGGGCTTCTCGGACGGCTTCTCTCCGTTTTCCGGTGCTCCTTTGGACGCCGGACTCGAGTTTGTGAGACACGAGCGTGAAGCTTGCAACATTCCGGAAAGGACCTCCATGGGCATGCGTCGAGAGCTCAAAGAACCACCACCAATACATAAATCAAGGGGGTAGAGCTTGTGTGCTTGTTGCTTTGTTTGTTCCGGAAACCATTTTCCAAACCTGGTCAACCAGCTTGTGTTTGTGTCGTTGTTTGCTTTGGACACCATTTTTCAAATCTGGCGAACCTGCAGAATGTTCAAGCCTAAAGGATAAGGATCTCGAATTCGACACATACCTGGAGATGTCCACGTTCTCCGACTTGCCCGTTCGGGCCTTCGGCTAAAGTTCTCCGCAGCTCCGGCCTGGTGAGCAAGCAGCTGCACCAGACGTGGCAAATGTGGACCCCCAAGAAATGTTTATGCTCTCCCAGGCATGGGTGTCCTTTTAGGGGAAATAGATGGGTTTCCCTGGTAGATTAAACCACCAGGTAAACAAGGAATCGCCATCTATTTTCCACCAAAACAACCGACAAGGACACCTATGCTCCCAGGTTATGGTGATTTGTTAGAACAGGGCATCTTTTGGTTGACATCATCCATGATGGGTCCCGTTCTTGACAGTTCAAAGCTACCATATAGCTACCCTCCCACTAATTCTCACGGAACCTGACGTTCGGGGAAGTCCTGAAAAACCATGTTCCTTTTACGGGCCCCCCGTCAGGTTCCATGTTAGTTGACGGGAGGGATAAAAAAGAATCCTTGTGTCTTTTAAATTGACCTTGTCGACCTTGAGGGAGATTAACCAACCAGGATTGATGACAAATCAGGGGAAGAAATTACCCGAAAAGGCGAAGTGCCACTTCATTCATTCGTTGGAATGTGCAAAGTGCTCAGTTGCTGCTAGTCCAAGTCAAGCTGATTACAGATTCAACCCATGTTCGTCGCATTCCAAGCTGGTATGTGAATGTGACCACCGGCTAAAGAAGGGCAGTGTCAACACCGGTTCAAAAAGGGCTGCGTGATTCAAGGGCAATGCGTGTCTCCTGGCTGGGCTGTCTTCAGATCCCCTGCTAAAAGTTTAGCTCAGATCCCCTGCTAACAGTTTAACTCAGATCCCCTCCTAAAAGTCTAACTCAGATTTCCTGTTAAAAGTTTAACTCCGATCCCCTTCTAAAAATGTTTAACTTTTCGTGGGTTACATAGAAACCCAACCACTAGACCCAACTACAAACCTACTTGGCCGCGGCTCAAAAAGATGTACCAAAAATGGTGCCTTGGTACATGGCACCAACAGCCAAAAACCTGCGTGACCCTGGCGCTTTAACTTTGAGCCGTACCCGCTCAACCCAAAAAAAAAAGGCCGAAGGAGCTGGGTGGCCTTCCCAAGCTGGGGATGCGAACTTGCCGCAGCTCGGCGCAGCTCGGGGCCCGGGCGCAGTTGGCCTATGGCACTGGTGCGCTCGCCATGGTGCAGCACCCGCAGCCCAAGAAGGAGAAGCCTCAAACATCGAAACCAGGAAGTCAGACATGGGTACGCTTTGCTTCAGCCTGTTTTGTGGTGGTTACATGAAAACTACTAGGAAGACCCACCAAATCACTCAGACATGGGTCCTCCAGATTTGAGAGCTTAGAAGAAGGGTACCCTTTTTCCTTTTTTCTGTAGTCTATTTTAGAGACGGGGAACCCTCCCCCAAAATAGTGGGTGAAAGGGCTCTACTGGTGGACCTAGTCAGACATGGCTACGTTTTGCTGCAGCTTGTTTTTTTGGTGGTTGTTGCAGGAAAACAAATAGGAAGACCACCATTTTGTAAGTTGAAATCATCCAAATCAATGGAAGATGCCACTGCTCATTCGGACGACCACCGCAGAAGTCGGGGAATGAGCCGGAGACTCTTAAAGTACCCCTGACTTTCCGTGGGTTTGTGTTTTCGTTCCCCCAGAATTCTGGTATTCCTTTTAGTTCTCTTTTAAAACCCATAAAACAGGGGGTACCCTGAAAAAACAAAAAAACATACTCATGTCTGAATTACTGGTTTTCCGGAATGTTGCGGCTCCGCTTCCCCAACTTAGGTCGGAAGGCTCCCATTCCGATTCGATCGGTAGAAAATCGCGACCCGGAAAGAACCAAAGCGCCTTTTGGAATGGAACTCGCATCAGCCCGTGCACCAACAAAATCGTCCGGGAGTTAGCTAAGTGGCAACGTTTGTTTGCTACCATACCAATGGTTGTGAAGTTGTAAATGGACACCAAAAGGAAACCAACCTCCTGGAGGGGTCCTTAATTTTGAAAAGCACCCAGTCTATTCTTCTTTGTTAGGATAGAAAAACAAAGCCATTCCAATGGAACGAAAAAATCAAAATTCTTGACTTGTATCCAGACCTTGGATCTTGAAGATAAGCCATAACTTTTCAGAAGGTAGGTGATGGGTTGCAGTTAAGCCTTATACAGGCTACCATGAGGACTGCAAGCAGGCATAAGCAGTGAGAACTACAATAGGGTCATTGGCCGCTTCTTGAGCAGATTGCCTCCATTGAGGGGGAGGGATTTGGGGAATGCCCATCCCCGGATGTTTGTTTTTTGGTCTGAAAGAGGTGGCAACCGGGGTTAACCGTCGACCGTAAAGGGTCCCAGGGTTTCTGAATGGTGCGAAATGGATTTCGTCCATCCACTCCGCATGACAAAGGATGCCATGGATGAGGTCATTGCAACCAGAAAGGCCGCGAATCCAAGATCTTTTGTTGCCCATTGACTTGAGGTCCAACACAAACACGCAGCCAAATGTACCTTGACAGCCGACAAGCAGTTCTCCAGATGCCCAAAACATCGGTCCAGCGGCAAGACTGCCTGGCCAGACTGCCCAGCCTTTTCGTTCTGCTTTTTGCCAGCAGTGCTCATGCAGATTCATGAGGCTTGAGGCTGCACCATCCAAAAAGTCCGTGCACGAGCGACTGACAAGCTTATTGATAGTCTACTGTATATTTGGTGGTGATGGCAAGACCGTGCTTCCTTTTCAAAACCAACAAGGGAAAATTAGATATGTATATATATATAGTCTTAAGCAAATGGAGGTTTAAAAACCAAAACCCCAACCAAAACAAACAAAAACAGACTCCTCGGGCCGGTGGAGGTTTTCCTTCTTTGGTTTCCCTTTAAACACCCCCAAACCCCAAACAAAAAACCGAAAACAGATGAAGGTCTTCCTTTCGGTTTCCCTTTAAAGGACCCCAAACCCAAACCAAAAGCGCTCCCTCTTCGCTTCCTTCGCCTCCGCTTGCTTCGCGCCAAGTGGCCGGGGTTGGGCGTCTCCAGGTGCCTCTGCGCCTGCTGGGCCGCCGTCAGATGCCGCGCCGCCTGCGCCGTGTCCGGGTGCTTGTCCCCCAGCCTGCGCGGATGTTCGGCCGGCGCGCGGAAAATCCCCGCTCGGGTCCGGGTCCGGCGCGCGACGCTGCAGCCCTGTATTGGGCAGCTTCCCGGTCATCGTTTAGCCAAGCCAGTGGAACCCATCCATGTCTAACACTAAATGTTCCAGCCCGCGCTCTGCGCGGCGCGGTTCCTCTCTCGGAGGGTCCGGTCCGGGGTGCTGCAACCCGTTTCGGGTTTTGCACCCCTTGAGGGGTTTGACTGGGCCTGCCAAAACCCGGGAGGGTTTGTGGTGTTTGGTTTTTGGGTATCCGAAATGAAGGAATCAGAGACGGCCTTTGGGAAACATGGAGGGGTGAAATTGTGGTAAAATGTTGTTTGAAGCCAATCTAAGCCAGTGGAACCCATCTATGTCTAAACAACCAATCAAAAGGCCAGCTATGTCTAGGGTGCAAACGAGTTTATTTCCGAAAAAATTGTTTTCTTTCCAAGAATGGGACGTCTGTACATGGGTGGCCTTGTGGAAGAATAGATGGGGTTCCTTGGTAACAGTGCATAAAACCCATCTAACCCACCGATCATTCTTCCATTTGCTTTTTTGCCCCCTGGAAAAAATGAGAAAATATACGTCCAGTAGTCAAACCGCTTCCTTTTTCAAAACCAACAGAGTAAAATACAACATAAGGATTTCGAGCGGTTTTCAAAACCGTTTTGGGGTCAAAAATGGCTGACCCAGCGCGATTTGAGTACCCGCAAGTCGAAAAACAAGTTGCGAAGCCAGGTATGTCTTTTTTGAGGGTAATGTGTTTCCATGTTTGTGGTTGGAAAACCCTTGCTTCTTTTTTGGGAAGGGCTCCCCTCAAACAAGACAGACCCATTTGATTTTGGTGGGCAGGCTTTCTTAGAACCGCCCTAAGTGCCGCCGGTAGAAAAAGAAAAGGGAGCCACGCGGTTCTCAAAGCAAAAAATGGGAAAAGGTGGCCCTTTCTCAGTGGGGTAGTTGGCAGGGGCGATTTCCCCTTTCGCTTGAAACCCTCCAATGGTGTCCTGTTCAAAAACGGGTAAATTTAAAAAAACAAAAAACGGGGGACGGACCCATTGGTCCAGGAAAGGCGGCGAAAATCGACTCCGGTGCAAAAGAAGCCTGTGAAGCCCCGGTGTCATCCGCTCCACCGCTCAGAGGGGCCCGCTTTTTTTGAGCTGCTGCTTTTTCTTGAGGACGCCACCAGGCGCCGACGGAAGAAAGACGAGGTCTAGTTGTCCAGGAAGGGGCTGTGCCTTTGATTCAACCCAAACTCATCCAGTTTGATGAGTCATTGCCATACCTAGCTTGCAATCTTTGCGATGTTCATCGCTTGTTTTGGGTGAAGCAGCCATGTTGATATCACGTTTTTGGGTGTTTTTTGGTCCAAGGTCCTCCGCAAGCCATAGGAACCGCAAGCCAACAGATTTTCGGGTTTTCGGGCTCCGCGAAACATGAGGCCCAGGTATCGAGACCCAACAGCCGACAGCCGAACCATCAGAAAGCTGGCCCTTCCACCCCTCGCCGGGGATCCACCGCCATTTCCAAATGGGTATGGGTTAAACGTAAACCAGGAATTGGACCGCAGGTCTTAGTCCATGCTTTCACTTTGCCACCATTCCACTTTGGGGTGAATTACCCTATTTTTGACCACCACAGTGCCCAATCCGCTCAGCCGGAACTCCTTCCGAGGCTCCGGGCTGTGCCCTTCGGCCATTGAGCACTTCTTGGAAGAGCTCCGCGGCCTGAAACGGCGACTTTTCCCTTCGCACCACTTTGAGGCCACGGGAAGCCATGAGGTTTCTTGGTACTTCTGGGGGGATCACAAACCAGGGCTTCTGAAGGCTGCGAAATGGAAATCAATTCCATGCACAGGGGCCCAAAGCTTTTTTTGGGCAATATCTAGGTGGGGAGTCAGGTCCGACCATTCACTCTGCCGGGCAGTGTTTGCCCGTCAGAAAAGTGTAGCAGCCATTTCGACCCGAAAGTGCCTGTTCTCGCAAGACGGATCCTCCATGCCAATCCTCACCGCTGCGCCAAACATGTGCAAGGGGAATCCGCGCCTGAGTGTACTCCTCTCTGGAGTACAGTAGCACCGCCAGGTTGTTCGCGCCTCAAATCCGAAGCCCGAGAAACCATCAGCAACCCTTCGCGGCGAACAGCCGGCGAATGGCCGGCGAATGGTCATGAATCAAGACTTGAGCATCCAAGAGGCCCTGGATCACTCCTTTCCTACCTTCGCCATGCCTGCAGGTGGCCAAAACTCTCCCAGAGCCCAAAACCTAAAGCAGTCTGCCATGGCAAAGAAGGCCAGAATAGGTCGGATTCAGCCGGGGAAGACCAAAAGACCGCCCGCTGCCACCCCGAGCAGTCGGGCTTCTCTTCTGAATGAGTTTTCACGCACCCCGCGGCCCAAAACACGAACCCCGGAGCGCCAGCCGCGCCTGTAAGGGTGTCTGGGTGCTTGTCGCCCAGTTGGGTGCGAAGACCCGCAAGGACCTGTCGCTTCATCACTCACCCAAGAAAACGTCACTTTCTGCCAACAAAAGGGCAACTCCAACAAATAGATGCTCAACCCCCCACCAGCAAAAACATTTGGAACATTAAAAAAGCACATGTGTCAAAAATGGTGAAGACCCTGGAAAAATGGTGTCCCTCTTGGTTTCCCTTTGAGCCAACCTTTAAAGGGTATCCTCGCAACACACACACACACACACAAACACAAACACTCAAAAGTAAACCGTTCGGAAAAGGCGATCCGGTGAGGCTCTCTGGATATTGAAGTGACGGACTTGCTGTCGGGCCAACTGTTCCCTCCATCCTTCCGGTCTACAATCGGGTCCATGACCAAACCCGAGTGGGAACTGATGAATAAAGCCCTGGTCGATTAAGAGAGGGGCGTCTCCTTGTGGGGGATTCCTCACTCTTGAAGAGGGAACACCCCCTGATAAGAAAAAGCACGGGCTTATTCATCCGGGGTCAACATGTGGACAAGCATCTCAAGGACAAGCTCGGACAAACTCCGAAGAGGCACCGGGTTGCTACGTGTCCCACGGAGGGTCAAGCTGAAGACTGGCACTATGAAATGGGCGAATAAGTCTTCCATTGGTTTTTCGAAACTCCTCCCCCCCTCCAAAAAACACACACACAAGGGACAAACCCAACAACAAAACGCACTCACACACACACACACACACACACAAACACAAACACAAAGAAGACACACACACACAACACAAACACCAACACCAACACCAACAACAACACCGACACCGACACAGACACAGACACAGACACAGACACAGACACAGACACAGACACAGACACAGATACAGCCACAGCCACAGCCACAGCCACAGCCACAGCCACAGCCACAGCCACAGACACAGACACAGACACAGCCACAGCCACAGCCACAGCCAGAGACACAGACACAGACACAGACACAGACACAGACACAGACACAGACACAGACACAGACACAGACACAGACACAGACACAGACACAGACACAGACACAGACACAGACACAGACACAGACACAGACACACACACACACACACACACACACACACACACACACACACACACACACACTTGCGCGGGTCTGCTCACCTCGTTTCTTTCATTTCCCCCGCTTCAAAAACTCGCCTCAACAGCCCCTAGAAAAGCACCGCTGATGTCCAGAGGCACACGGAAAAAAATTCGGTTGTTTACCCTCCCGTCCATGTTGCCAGCCATGGAACCTGGCTCGTTTTCCAGGATCCTGGAAGAGAACAGCTTCGCAAACTTGATGAGTGGATTGGCCCGCAAAACGTTCCAACGTTTCTCATGTCCCACTAAACTGATCCAAGCCCAAAAAAAGCTTCAAGTAAAAATGACCTCGGGGAAATGAGAGGAAGCCCCCACGAAACCAACCAAAAAGGATCTGTCCAACGCCGCGGCTCGGTTTTGCGTCTTCCCTTTAAAGCGGTTGCTTTCCGCTCCCCTGCTAACAGTGAATGACATTTAGAGGTTTCATTCGGAAAACATCCATTCGTTGGCCAAAAAGTTATTCAGAATTATTCAGTCCTAACATCCCTGGGCAACATGCACCAAAGTCCCATCATTCAGGGGGGTGTGTCCCTCCAAAAGTGGACTGAATCCAACCACCGAAAGGAATTGGACACCCCCTTCACCTCTTCGAAGGGCCCGCCGCTCCGCCCGCCCGCCTCCCGGAAGATGGGCTCCGCCTCGTCGAAGCGCTCCGCCTGGCGATGAGAAGCGGATTTAACAAAAAAAATGCGGACACGCGCGCGAGAAAAATTTCGGTGTCATGAGCAGAGCTGGGCCCAGTTTAGGGCAAACAGCAAAATATACCTGGCATACCTGGCTGAAGCGAACGGTTTACTTTCATCAAGACAAGCTAGATATAGAATGTATATTTCACTGTTTGCTTCGCTTTTAGTCACCGGTAACATGTAAAATGTATCCTAAGTCTACCCCAGGTTTGTGGATGAAAAAAATCGGTCCCCCCAGAAAAAGGAAAAACGAGGCGCGGAGATGTGCGCCTTGGGTGGAGTTCACCAGAGTCTTCAACCCAAAGTTGGCTTGCTTTGGTAGTGCTCGTTTAGTACTCTGTTCATAGGCAGGGGTGGTTCCACAAAAGCCACATCCAAAGCGGTTTCTAGAGAATCACCCACAAAAAAGCGCTTCAATCAAGATGGCCCCAAATCCATGAGGCCGGAGATCCCGATCCATTTTGAGGGTGGGAGTGTCCCCTGTCCAATTGCCAGAGTGGCTCTACCAGTGTTGACAGTTGGAGAAAACTCCGTGTCGCCAGGCCCTGGGCAATCGGGGCTCGTCACTCATTCAGAGGCTCATGTTCGCATAAAGACTCATGTACGCATCGGCAAGGCAATCCAAAAAGGGGAAAAGGAAAAAAAAAAGAAAAAGGCGTGATCCGGCATGGAGTCTTGTTGAGCCGCCCCTTTTGTCATTCCATGCCACGTTTGCCAAAGACAAATCACCAACGTCTTTCCACATAGTCGTTTCTGGCATTGAATCAACCAAATTGACAGCTCCATGAGGTTGTCGTCTATCCACTATGCCCGTTGCTCGGCATGGCCCCTGGAACGGGAAACCTCCAACCCAAATCGTACAGCCAGACTTCCAAACTGCCAATCCGTGCTCCCACGTTCTGCCACGGCAAAAGCAGGCAAAAGGGAACAGCAAGCCACGCGCTCGGAACTCTTGGGTCGTTCTGCCCGCCGGGGCCGAACGGGGCGTGAAACCGCGGCCTCGTGGAGCAAAGAGCCGAGGCTGTTGGCACAGGTCAGGGTGTACGAGTGCGTGTCCTCGCTATGGGATGGCACGCTCTGCCCACGTTTCGCCGTTTCCTCTGCTTGCCCACAATGGAGCTGCGCCCTGTACTTTCACCCTGGAAAAACTGATCTGTTCAGACATGGGCGTGGGTCAAAATGCAACCACCAGAAAAACCGCAGGTTTTCGCCTTTGGTTCCATTTACCGATCGGGCAACCCATTTTCGGTACGCATGTTTGACCCAGAGCCACATCCGGATTCCCTCACGGCGAAGTGATGCTGTCTGAACCCAGCACAAGTGAGCCATGCAGGAAAGGAGCGAGGAAACACATTCTATTTGTTGCGAGTCACTGGCAAAACCAAGAAATGTATGATACTCCACATGTAATGGTCTTCTCGCAAAAAGCCATCGCCAACTCAAAGTAGAAATTTATGTTGGGTTTCTATAGGGAGGCTCTCCATGCGAGACCAACCATATCAAGGCAATACGTACCCGTGATCCCCTCCCTCAAAAAAAAGGGAGGCATTTGAAGGTGTGTGCGTGTGTGTCAGTCTTTTTCTTGCTCAGTTCTTATCACCACCCGCCCCCTCTCCCCTTTCCCGAGTGGCCACCACTCGACTCCTTTCTCTTCCTTCGGCCCCCAAACCAAAAAACATGGAGAAATAACAAAAACCATAAGACGGGCGGAATTGAAGCCGCATGGATTCTCCCACTCTCGCGCCCCCACAAAAAAACAGCAAAAGTCACCAGAAAAAAAAACGGCAAACAAAAGCCCCCGACCTTCCGGGTTTCTCGGGCCCCCCCGGAAAAAAAAAAAAAAAAGGCCAAAAACCACCGGGAAAAAAAAAACACAAAAAAAAGAGGGGGAAACAAAAGGAGAAAAAAAAGGGGAAAAAAAGCTGAAAAGAGCCCCCACCAAGCCACCAGGCCAAAGCCAAAGGCTCCAAAGGCTCCGGGCCCCCCGGCGCCCAGGCTCTCCCGGCAATTCCGCAGCACCTCCACGAAAGTGGCCTCCGCCTCCTTCTGCTCGCCTGCGCAAGCGGACGCGGGAGGAACAAACGTCCGTGGGGGGGGGGGGGGGGGGGAAAGGGGCCTTGGGGCCGGTTTTTTTCATGGAAGAAAGGGGGTGGAACCTGTGGCAGCCAGAAGAAAATCGTGTTGTTGCAGGCCCCTACTCAAAATAAGAGGACCAAAAAAAACAAAGAGAGCAAAAAATGCTGGGAAACCCACAAAGGGTGAAACCTTGTTTGGAGTTGGGAATGCTTTTTTGCTTGGGGTTTGAAGGGAAACCAAAAGGAAAACATATTGGGGGTAGCCTAAAAAAAGACGAACCCGCCTGGAGACTCCAAATCTTCTCTCTAATTGCTGGTTTGCATTGGTGGTTTGGTGGTTAAGGAGGGGTTTCCCATTTGCCCTCCACAAGAACCAGGGGTTAGAATCCCCAAACCATCCCCAAACCATCCCCAAACCACCCATCCAAGCCACCAACTAAGATATGCCTGAACCAAGTCACTGGCGGGTCCCAAGTTTGGAAAAAGCAAACAGCTGCAAGATGACAAGATGGGGAGTCGAGGCGGTTGCATGTAGATTCCGTCGTGGGCATGTCGATCAGCCAGCCTTGGAAGGGCCATGCTTTACCGTTCTGCATTTCAAGCAAACTGGTTGGTTTCCTTTGCCTTTCAATCACCAAGGAAACTCAAACTCAGGAAACACCCAAATTGGCTTTGAGGGTCGGCCCATGTTTGTGCAACGATCAAAGCAGGGCCGACCAACTGCAAGATGTGGAGTATGAGAATTCCACTGGATAGCAGCGGAGGAGACGCGCTGTTGTCTATCTCCGGTTCCTTGGAATAGTTTAGCGCAACATCTTTGAGTGATCTGGTCGAACTGATCTGGAAAGCCCGCAGTAGCTACCGATCCCACACCGTGACTGTCAGGTTTTAATGGAAACATGGGGTTAGCTCTGGGGAGGGGAGGTGAGGGGAGGGGAGGGGAGGGGAGGGGAAGGAGAGGGGGAGGGGGAGGGGGAGGGGGAGGGGGATGGGAGGGGAGGGGGGAGGGAGGGAGGGAGGGGAGGGAGGAAGGGGGAGGGAGGGAGGCGAGGCGAGGCGAGGCGAGGGCGAGGGCGAGGGCGAGGGCGAGGGCGAGGCGAGGCGAGGCGAGGCAAGGCAAGGCAAGGCGAGGCGAGGCGAGGCGAGGCAAGGCGAGGCGAGGCGAGGCGAGGCGAGGCGAGAGAGAGAGAGAGAGAGAGAGAGAGAGAGAGAGAGAGAGAGAGAGAGAGAGAGAGAGAGAGAGAGAGAGAGAGAGAGAGAGAGAGAGAGAGAGAGAGAGAGAGAGAGAGAGAGAGAGAGAGAGAGAGAGAGAGAGAGAGTGAGAGAAGACACTACCAAATGTGCCTTTTGGGGTTGCTATTCTTTTCAGGAAACGGCTGTAAACTCGGCAGAAAAGCGAGGCTCACCCAAAAGCTCATCCGCGCCTCTCTGCATTAGACACAGGCCTGGCGGTGAAAAGCGGACACCAACCCCCCCTCCCTTCCCCCCCCCCCCCGCACACACACACACACAGCACAAATGGTGGATTTCCCTGTGGCTCTGCGCCTCAACACTCACAAAACATGCACACAGATCTTCATAGCCATGTTGGGTTCAACCCAAACGGACTGCCAAACGCCTCCACGACATTTCGTGGCCCAGTGCCAACAAATCGAGCGCGCGACTGCGAGGGATCCCTCTCTGAAGCCCAGGCCGTAGTTGTTGGCAGTCATCAGCGTGTCCATGTGGCCCACCCCCAGCAGCTCCTTCCGGCCCGCCAGCGCCTGATGCGGCAAACCAAGCCCAAGCCATCTAGGGCCTCGCTGGCATGCGCATGAGATCCGCGGCAAACCCGCCATTTGCAGCGCAAGCCCAAAACCAAAACAGACACCGATCAACAAACATGAGGCCCTGAGGCAACAAATTTCTTCTGCCGCTTGACAAGTGCGGGCATCAGGAAGATGGAAACTCTTAAGTCAAAGAATGAATGGATATCCTTGTTAGACCAGGTCAGCAGCAAGACGCCTTCAAACGTTGGCGTCACGGTACATCTGACGCTCGTCACACACACAGAGAGAGAGAGAGAGAGAGAGAGAGAGAGAGAGAGAGAGAGAGAGAGAGAGAGAGAGAGAGAGAGAGAGAGAGAGAGAGAGAGAGAGAGAGAGAGAGAGAGAGAGAGAGAGAGAGAGAGAGAGAGAGAGAGAGAGAGAGAGAGAGAGAGAGAGAGAGAGAGAGAGAGAGAGAGAGAGAGAGAGAGAGAGAGAGAGAGAGAGAGAGAGAGAGAGAGAGAGAGAGAGAGAGAGAGAGAGAGAGAGAGAGAGAGAGAGAGAGAGAGAGAGAGAGAGAGAGAGAGAGAGAGAGAGAGAGAGAGAGAGAGAGAGAGAGAGAGAGAGAGAGACACCCTCGCACGCACGCGCGCACGCGCTTGCGCGCACGCTCTCAGGCACAAAAACAGACACAGACACAGAGACACCTCAACACAGAGAGACGCAGACATAGAGAAACCCACGGCGCGCGCAGACACCTCACACGAACGCAGACACCTCGCGCCACGCGCCTCTCGGTGCCCCGCCTCCTCGTAGAGGCGCTCCGCCTCTCGGTGCTTGGCCTGGGTCCGCAGGAGCCTGGCGGCCCGGGGTGGGGAGTTGGGGGGGAGGGGAGGGGAGGGGAGGGGAGGCAGGGGGGGAGGGCTCCTGGTGCCTCCTGTGCTTTCCATTTCGGAGAAAAAGGGAGAAGAAAAAAAAAGGTTTTTTTTCACCAAGATGCGGATGAGAAGGGAAAGGCAGTTGCGTACCCAAACTATCGAAACACCCGGTGGGACAGAAAGAAACAACAAAAATGGATGGCCTATGATGGCCTTCAAGCGGGCCCGAGCTGAACCTGACAAAGTCTCAACGTGAACCCCTCTTCGTCTGTGTAAGCCAAGAAAATCGACTGCTTTTAAACCTAAAAATGGGGTCACCACATCCCCCCTCCCGCATACAAACCGGGCAAATGGGTCACATCCCCCGTATACAAACGGGCAAGTGGAAACCACATCCCCCTTCTCCCGTATAAACACCGGGCCCATTTGCCCAACGTTCCCTGCAGCTCCCAAACGACGAGAAAACCGAAGCCGCGCCCCGCGAGGTTGTTCATGGAGGTCAAAGTGTCCTCGCAGTCAGCTTCCGGTTTGACATGGATGGCTCGTCTCTGAGTTCCCAAGCATTGGTCTTGGCTTAAACGGTTCCATTTTTGGGGGGGCCTCCAAAAAACGAGCCGCAAACCTCTTGGATAAAGAAGGGGGCCAGCTTCTTTCGCAACCCAAGGCTTTGAACGCACGGCAAGAACACAGCGCAGGGTCCTTGTGAAGCTCACCCAGCCTCAGCACTGTGAACGGCTTCAAAACCCTCCAGAAGGTCCCAATCCCAAGTTTGACGCAGATCCATATGTGGGTTGATCAATCTTCCCTTAAAAAGGCCCCCCATTTTTGACCATGGGTAACTCTTCCCATGTTGAAATATCATATTTGTGTGGTTGTCCAACCAACGGTTATCCCATGTAAAGGACGTGTTCATCAAACCCAATTATGCGCGTTGGCTCTTGCAAAGGACATGCCGACAAAAGTGAACATTATCTGTCGTTCTGAGTGAGCATGCAGAAACAGTTTCCCTCTCCATGGTGGTTACAGAACAATCCACAACAAACCACCCCTCGAAAACAAAATCAAGACCCAAAGTGTTCCCTTGAAACGCAGTTGGAGAAAACCCAAGCCCTATCCTTCCTCCTCCCAGGGAAAACATGTAGCCTGCCAATCACGTGACTGTGAAACTTGTCTGAAAAAAATGGAAAAAAAAACTTTCCTCCAAAAGGGACCCCCTGGGTTCCATGCTGGCGGGAGGGGACAACTGCAAGCCTCTGCATCCCTGAGCGCCCCCCACACCTTTCGCCGGCCAGCCAGTGCTGTGTTCATGAGCTCGTCAGCCTGTTGTGCGGGCATTCGAGAGCAGTCCTTGCCAAGAGGTGCTAAGCACTTCCAATGTCGCCTGTTGAAGGCTTCTCTCGTTGTGACCAAATTAAACCAACAGGGGACCGCAGGTTTGGTCCATGTTTCCATTTGCCAGGGTTCCATTTTGGGTACCTATTTTTGACCCACAGCTAAATGCTTGACACATGCACCCCTGGATGCCCAAAACAAGCGACCGCCTCGTCCAGCTGATTCAGCAAATGCCTTGGCAACCACAGAAATCCTGCGTTCCACTCTCGGCCAAGCGAAACCGCGTTCGCGGCCCCCAAACCCACCCAACAGGTCCCCAGCTTCAGCACTTGGAACGTGGAACTTCCCCATCATCTCGCCATGTTGTGATTTGAGTCCCAAAACCACACGCCGCGGTCTGCCGCCCGCAACAGCTGCCGAAACCACTTGAAACGCATTCCACTTAGGACACCCAAAGAGACCCCGCAAAAAGTGGGGCTCCTTCGGAGTTTGTCCCCCGGAAAAAAAAAAAATAGGAAGAAAAAAAAGGAGGAAAAAAAGCCTCCAAGTCTTCGCTCGCATGAGGCATGAGGCACCCCGCAAAAAAGAAGAAAACAAATCACCCCACAAGTTGAGGCCGGCGCAGAAGCGAGGCCAGGTTGCTGCAGCTGGTCAAGGTCTCTGGGTGCAGGTCCTGAGTTCGAGGTAAGAAGACTTGTCTCGGCGTCCAAAATGTGGGGCTTAGCTTCCAAAGAGATGCCATGACAGGGTTGCTCGTGCTTCCTGTAATACCAAGGGGAAAACCAGCATGGGGAACCAAAGTATGGAGCTGTTTCTTTGGTTTCTATCAGGGTGTGCCTATTTTGGAGGAAAACCGATCCACCAAACCCACTTCTGGGTGTTCCAAATTGAAAAAAGATCTCAGACCACCTTTCCCCCCTCCTCTCCCCCTCCCCCCCCCCCCCCCCCCCCCCCGTTTTTGCCTTAAGCCGCTGAACCTCAGAAAAGCCAACGAATTGCGCGAAAGCAAAACTCCTTTCCTTTGCAAGAAAATAACCATAAAAGCACACAGCTTTGTAGGTTCGCTTGCCTGGTTTTACGAAATGCGGTGATGAATCCCGAAAATCCCCCCAAAAAACCCCCCTCCCTCCCCCCCCACCCCGCCCACTTTTCCAACCGCCCCAAAGCGACACGAAACGGTCAGGGCCCCCCGGCGCCAAAGACCTGGCGACGACCCTCCAGCGCCTCCCGAAACAGCGGCTTCGCCTGACATCCAAGCGCTTTCTCGGCGGCGAACTCTGCGAAGCCCTGCTAAAAATTGAATAACTGTTGGTCGTTCAATGGAAAACCCATTAGTTGGCCGCCCCCTAGGCCGAACACACACACACACACACACCCTTTGAGAAAGACTAAAATCGACCCATTTTGGGAGGTGGGGTTTGGGTGGTTGCGGGCTCCCTTTCTGTGCAACTCTTGGGATGCGCTTGCCAAAAGCGTAACTTCTTTGTCTTGCAGCCTGCTCAAAATGAGACCGAACGCCAGAACACCCACCCAAATGCAAGGACTATGTTGTGGCCTTCTCTGTGTAGAAACCCTCGGAACGCAAACCAATATAGTTTTCGCCCAACTTCAGAAACGCCAGCTTGGAAGCTCTCAGGGGTGAAACATGGGTGTGACACTTTGCTTGGTTTTGAGGGAAAGCCAAAAGGAAACCAACCTGTCTACCATTCTCTTGATCTTCACAAGAACAAGAAACCTACAAGTGGGATAGCACTCTGGATTAAAGATCGAAATCCTTCAACTGTCGGAAGGGGACCCAACACATCGTTTTGTTTCCTTTTGGGCTCCCCTTGAACCAGCAACCCACAAAAGGGAAAGAAACACACCAACCTTCTGAAACAAAAAAACACCCCTTCCAGTCCACCCTTGAAGCTCAGCTTCAAAACACGGGCCAAGCTGGAATCCCAGAAGGCGGTCATTTTGCTTCAGCCAGCGTCGCTTCGCCTCTTGACATCCCCCGCCTTGTCCAAGCGGCCTCGCGCCTTCGCTGAAACAAAAAACGAAGACGGTTCCTGAAAATTCAATATGGGTGGCTCGTCTTTTTGGTAAGGGTGCCCTTCTTGGGGTGGTTTTAGAAGGGAAACCAAAAGGAAACTCACCATTTTTGCGGGTACCTCTTCTTTCAGACACCCATATGGGTGGCTCGTCTTGTAGGATTCGGACGCCCAAGCTAAGATGGTAGCAACTCCAAATAGGACGCACCGTCCATATGGAACGCTGAGGAGCCCAGGAAGATCGATTCCAGTACGGCCAGCGTCTTGTTGCGTCTTACTCAGGGAACCATCGGATTCGCCCGCGGAAAATGATGTGCCTCTTAGGTCAGAGAGGCACCACTGCTGAAGCAGGTCCAAGCTTAGTTCTAATGCAAACTTATGGGGGGAATCCCTGTTTCCTGGGCTGCCCTCAGCTCCCGCTGAAGTTTTTAACTTTTAGTGGATTAAATGGAAACTACCACCAAAAAAAACACTAAAAGGCTAAGAAGCTAAGGAACCGGATGGGTGGGAGCCACCAAGTTTCTATGTTCGACCTGGCTGTTGGGGCAACTCTCAGGTCCCTTGGCTACAACCTGCAAAGTGGCAAGTGGCTTGGACATGATCTCTCGACAACTCGAGTCGCGCCTGGAAGAGGGATGCCAAGTTGTTGGCGCTTTGCAGCCTCGGGCACCCACCCCACTTGCCTTCGAGGCTTGCTTTGTCCCGAGCCGCAGAATGACCGATAATTCAAGAAGGACCCGAACTGTTCACGTGTGTTGTGCAACAAAACCATTACGGTTGTTAGAAAACCAAACAAAAGCGTACTTCCAACTTGCGCTAAAGAGCAAAGAGGGCAAAAGAGCTCCCGAAGCAAACCTCTATGGCAAGTGGGAAAAGAGCCAAACTTGCCAGGCGAACTGCCGAAGCCTCCCCCCGAATTGTGAGATAAAAAAATAAGTCCCCTCACAAGCGCGGCATCACATCTCAAGAGATCTTCCGTTTCCACGGAAACTGTGACTCTTGAAACCACCGAGGGTTCCGTGAGCTTCAGTCAAGTTTATGCTTCTTACATGCTTCAAAAGACACTATCTGGTCAACAGAAGATCTAATTGACAAGTGCAGTCCGTGGGTCACGCACTTTTGACTTTGCAACAAACGTCTCCCCGGGTTCAGAACTGACCGAGACCACCCGCGTAGGTCTCATTGTGTAAGATTCCGGGAGAAAGGGCTGCAATACTTTTGAACTTCCTAAAGCGTAACTTTTGGATGGTCATCATTCCCCTGTAGATACAAACTGGCCAAGCTTCACCTCTGAGGACCTCATACAGCCCGAAAAGCGATCTTTAACCACCAACCAGGGACAGCTCAATCTAGAAACACCAGACTGAAAAGTGGTGTTAAAGTCTGAAAACCACCAAAAGACTTCGAAAAAAATATGAAAACCATCAGAAGACCTCGAAAAAGAATCTGAAAACCACCAAAAGACCTTGAAAAAAACATGTCTCACGTCACCTCCTCCGACCCCTGAACCTCTTTCTGGGGAGCCCCGGCGTGTCAGGATGCAGCGGCCCCAGCACCGCCTTGCGCCCCTCCAGCGCCGCGAAGAAGTGGGGCTCCGCCTGAAGCCGAACGCAGTTGCCTAGGAGAGTGATCTGACACCGTTGGGTGGGGTTCCTTTTTCCCTTTTTCTACTGACCCCCCCCCCCCCCCCGCAAGTTCCTTGGCCTCGCTGGCTCCTCCCCTTCTTTTTTCTCCAACCCCCTCCCCCAACAAAAAAAACAGCTCGGTGCGGTTCCTTCTAGTGGAGCCCCCTCAGGGAATCAATCAGTTGGGTGGGTTTTTTTTGAGGTTGGACCCCCCCAAAAAAAGAAAACAACAACATGGCGCAACGGTTTTCCTTTGGGATTCCCTTCCAAAGCCACAAAACAGGGATATCGTGCAACAAAATGACAATCAGTGGGTGTCCTTCAAACATGTGCTTTTGATATGTAGACTTGACTGAGGGGGGTTCATCCAATATTAATCGCTTAAAGGTAAACTGTAACCCAGCAATCACCCGTTTGCTTTTATTCCCTCAATGTTAGACTGGTGCTGCGCAGGTCTTCTCGAATGTAAGTCCCAGTGAGCGCTAAGTCCCCATGGTCGATGCTTTCGAGGGAATCAATACCCCCCCTTCTCCCGAAAGCTGACCAGGCGGTCAATCGGGAAACTGATCTTCCAGGAAATCTCGAGGGTGTGGAGGAAGTCTAAACCCTCGCACGATCCAGTTGATGAATCAACCAGATGAGTACACCACCTCATGACTACGTCACCCAGAAAACGAAATGAAAGGGCTCCCCTCCTTGGGTTTCCGAACCAGAAAAAGCAGTCTGAATGACTTTCACGAGGTGCTCGAGGCGTCAACCTGAAGACATCCCCAGGCTCACCAGAGGCATGTCCCTGTTTAAAGGGGATCCGGATCACTGCTGGCGAAACACCCCCAATTAAGACAAAATCAAGACCGAACAGTATCCATGTGGGCCACCCAGAACCATGAAAAGAATTGAAGCGGCGGCACCTTGATTGTGGCTCCAACGAAACTCTGGGTTGATTTTTCTGCCGCTCTCTTGGCGAAGGCAACGTTATGTTCGAGCTGGCGAATCGCTGAGTGGAAAGCCAAAGCTTGAAGCGAGCCATCTAGTCGATTCAACTCCTGTAAGGATGTGTTCTTAACTTCATTCTCCCTGTCCCCCAGGCCAACTAGCAACCATGCCGTTAGAATCGTCGTCGCTCAGAATTCATGCAACAATCCAAGAGGACAAGGGACCATTTCAAGAGGCTGGTCCTGTCCACTTCCGGAAGAAAAAAACAAATGCCTCAAAAGAAGGACTTCTACAATTGCTATTTGCTCGTCCGAGCAGAACAAAATGGGCGGACACAGCTAAGTTTGGCGGCAACAGCTCGGTCTCATGGAAAAGCAACGTCTCCCGGTTTCGCACCTCACTCCAGCGACCCCAGGTGTAGTACCTCACTCACTGAAAACCCCCAAGGTCGCTCGGAGATACCCTTCCTCCAACTAACATGGCACCTGCGGGGACGTACCTGGAATATAAATTTCCTTTGAAGGGACCCCCACTCAGTTGCCATGTTAGTGGGAGGGAGGGTAAAAGCTTTGAGCCAACCCTCTGGTTCCGCGGTTCTATGGCCAGGATAGCTGACATGCCCGGCGTCGTTTTTGTTTGGCTTGCTTCGTGCCGTGAACGCTCCTCATGTGAGAAGGCATGGAGAATGGCTTCCTGACGCAAAACACGACCCTTCTGCTTCTGTGAAGCACCAATGACAATTTGGGACAACAGTGCATAAGGCTCTTTGCATTTCCCCCATTCAGAATATCTTCATAATGAAGCTCAATCAAACTGGCCCCAATCATCAGAAACTGGTCTCAGGAAGCCCATGTGCCCGTTTTGAAAACGCCTGCAACTGGGTCTATCTCAAAATAACTGACCCTTTTGAATGGCTTCAAAGGAAACGGACCAAATTTCTGATTCACGGCCGCAGCGAAGCGAGGGAGCCGTCCCTTGTCTCCACTGTCCACATGCTGAACCAAAGGTAATGCTTGCTTTCCAAAAAGTCGTTTAGCTACTGTGTGTGTAGCGGTTGCCACTGAAGTCATCTTCTCAAAAGGTTTAAAGTCCCAAAGGGCACGAATTGCAAAGGTGTCCTGTTGATCCCTCCCAAAGGCCCCAAGAAGCATGGCTCGCGTTCTCGTGTTGGTTGCGTTTGGCTATTGTCTCTCCCTTGGAACAAGTCAAGAGGGTCGCGATTTGGGTCTGAATCTTGGTGGAGATCATTTGCCTGGGGACTTTTCTCCACCCAACACTTTTCAGGGTGCTGCCGGTTGAAATTCACACACATTCGGTTTCTGCGTCTGTGCGTTTGTTTGCTTGAGTGGACATTTGTTGAAACTTAGTTTAAGCAGAAAACAACAGGCAGCCGCCTTTTTCGGGGGGGTCCCCTATTTGACACATGGACCTTGATCAAAATATTCCTGGCCCCCAATTGACCATGGGTAGCTTTTCCCAGTTCGTGCTGAAAAAGTCCTTCTTTCTGGTGTTTTCTTCATGGAAAGCACCTTTTGGATCACCGCGCACATCCCCATTTCGTCCAGTTTTGGCCCTCCTACTTGTTGGTTAGTGGTGAAAAAGTGCTTCTTCTTTGAGGCCCCCCATGGAAACCTCCCCAGAACAGCCAGTTTTGGCCCCCACGTCCATGGCTCATCGGCTCGGCCCCCGGCAGCCCCCCTAGGTTGTTGAGGCTGGTCAAAGTGGCCGGGTCCGTCTCTCCGAGGAGCGCCAAGCGGCCCTGCAAGACCTCGATCGCCGCATTTGTGGGGACCCTCCAGGTGGTTCTCCGCTTGGCTTCCCTTGAGATACCATCCAAAAAGTTGCTCCCACATTTCTCATGCTTCTTTTTGAGTTGGTCCCCCCCGTTTTAAATCGGCGGGAAACCGAACTCGGCTCAGATCCCCTGGCAAAAGCTTGACTTCTGGGTGAAATTCGGACACCCAACCACTAAACCAGCTAAAAAGATCTAAAAGCTATGTTGAACCGGATGGCTGGGAGCCACCAAGCAAAAGAGAATCCAAAAAAGGAGAAGAAGAAGAAAAAAAAACTTGAGTTGACCCGCCTTTGGCTTGGTTCTTTTTTAAGGGAAAATCCCAAAACAGGGAAAAAGAACAACCGGAGGAAATTTTATTCTACGCCCCATGCGCCCTTTTTGCCGCCTTTCTTTCTTTCTTTTTTTTGGGGGGGGGCGAAAACCGTCCCAAACCTCCCCACCCCGACCGCAACCCCCGCAGCCTCCTTGAGCAGCTCCTCGGCCTCCTGCAGCATGCCCTGCTCGTGCAGCAGCCTCGATGCTTTCGACTCGACTCGGCGGACGGAGCGTTCCCCCCGACCCCGAAGCGAGCCTCGCGGATCCAGGTCGGAACTTTCTTTGGCCGGCGAGACCCGGGGAGACGTGTCTTTTTGCTCCACGACCGAGGGGGACAATCCGGACTCCCCCGGAACCGAGGAAGTTGGATTTTTCCCACAGGAGCCAAAAGTGGGAAAGGCGGCAAGAAGAAATTGGAAGTGGATTTTCCCGCAGGAAAGGCGGCCAAAAGTGGGAAAGGCGGCAAAAGTGGGATTTTTCCCACAGGAAGTGGATTCTCCCCACAGAAACCCTGGGGGGAAGTCGTGGACTAGAGTTGACTCAGAGGGCGGAGTTCAAATCCGACTCACGGCCTGGGATTGGTCGTCTTTGGTCGATGTGGATCAATGGTGTCCGAACCTTCACACATACCCCAAACCCTTTGTCCCATCCATCCAAAGGCTGATTGTATAGGTCCATGTATATATATATATATATGTCTGTGTATATACATATATACACCCATGGCGATTTCCACCCTTTGGTGGCTGATTTCCCATAATTGAGCCAGAACTATCGGCCAACTAGCCCGTTCATGCCAGACCTTCATATTTGGGATAAAATACATTCAGCTTCTGAATCCACCCACACCCAACTCCACCCCGAGTTGTTTCTTACCCCCCAACCCCCCCAAGAGAAAAAACAGAAAAAGAAAAAAAAAAAACGGGGAAAAAAAAGGAAAGGAAAAAAAGAAAAAAAGAAGATGAAAAAAAAACGTTGCCACGCGCGCAAATCAACCGAACCTCGCACGCAAAAAGAAAGAACCACGCTTTAACCAACTTCGCGTTCTCAACGCCCCCTCGCCTGGCCAGGCAGTTGCCGCTCTGCAGGGTCTGGGCGTTCTCGTCCCCCAGCACCTCCCGGCACCCCGCCAGGGCCTCCCGGTCCAGCGCCTCCGCCTCCTCCAGGTGACCCCGGGCCTGGCGTCGAACGCGCGCGTGGCTTCCGCGCGGCTTCGGCGTGTGGGTTCGGCGGGAAGAGGGCACCAACCACAGGGAGATGGAGATGGGTGTCAAAAAATGAAGCCGCCAGAAAAAAAAGCGGGTTTTGGTCCAGATGTCCATTTGCCAGGTGTCCCTGGTAGATGCCTAGTTTTGACCCGCAGCTAAATGGAGCCAGGGTCAAAATGGAGCCAGGGTCAAAATGGCCAGGGTCAAAAGAAGGCAAAAAAGAGATGGAACCAAAACAAGCCAAAGAGGCAAATGGCGAAATTACAAACTCCGAATTTGGTTGCCACTGCAACCATATTTCGGGGTGTAGGACAGGCATATAAAGCCGTCGTCAAAAAATGACTGCCTCATGGAGCCCCGGGTTGATCTGAAGTCAAAAACCAAATGCTTGGAAGAGGTGTCCACCAAGAAGAATGGACGAGGGTCAAACTCAAATGGCTAGGACGGGGGCAAAATTCCGAATGTTTACAACTGCAACCTAGTATGAGGAAATTGCTAGAATGCAACTGGGTGTAGGACAGTGCAACCTAGTTTGGTATGAGGAAATTGCTAGAATGCAACTGGGCGGGGTGTAGGACAAATATAAAACGATTGCCAAAAAATGGAGGGTAGTCAAAACCAAATGCTTGGAAGAGGTGTCACATAAATGGTAGCAAAAAAAAAAGATGCCCCGCTGGATGAACTCCTTACAAACCTAAACTGAAAACTCCTCGCTCGAATGAGGGCGATTGATGCTTGTTGCCTTGCATGAATCGCCAGCGCCGTCAACCCGGGATTTTTGTGCGATGGTTCGCCCTCCACATGCCCAACACCCTGGTGAAATCCATCAGTTTTGCCGCGCCCCTGTTGCCCCAGGAATTGTGTTTGAACCCTTTGCATTGGGTGGGGGCCCTCCAAACGTAGTTTCTTCATCCAAGGAATTGGATCCCCCAATCCTCGGACGCATCCGAGCGGCTCGCGCAGCGGCGTGGAGCCGTGTCCAACCCCCCACTCAAACTCCACCGATCCGGGGGGGTTTGCTTCGATCCGAACCGCCCATTGGCCGCTTCTTCAGGGGCGGGCTGCGTGGATGTTTGATGGAAACTCCCCCACTTTTGAGGAGCTTCCATCAAACGTTGAGATGGAGGTTGCAATGGACTCTGCTTTCCACTCCTTGCAATCGATCTTTCCACAAAAAGAACTCCCCCTTTTCCCGGCTCGGCTCCCTAGACGGGAACCCAAACACCTCGGAAAAATACAAAACAACAGAAAACTCCCTCCCTGCTGCAAAACCCGAACGGTTTTGGGATTCGCCGCTTCGCCTGCTTCAGGCCAGCCAGGTTCACTGCCGTCTGCATCACCACCGGGTTCATGGCCCCTAGCTGCGACTTCTGGCCCTCGTAGGCGCGGATGTAGAGCGGCTCCGCCTCACGAAAATCTGTCCATGAGACGCACGAGCCAACTCAGAGAAGCCGGAAGCGAAGCTCCCCCGAATCGCGACGATCCGGTAACTGGAATCGCCTAGGTCTGAAAACTTTCAACATGGGTGTCTGCATTTTTGTTCGGCCCCCAAAAAACGGTGCCTCGGCTTCCTCGGCTTCCTTGGCTCCCTTTTTACACGCGCACACACACACACACACGCGCACACACACACACACACACACGCGCACACACACACACACACACACACACACACACACACACACACACACACACACACACACACACACACACACACACACACACACACACACACACACGCACACACACACACACACGCACACACACACACACACGCACGCACGCACGCACGCACGCACACACACACACACACACACACACACACACACACACACACACACACACCCACACGCACACACACACTTGCGCACGCACGCGCGCGCACACGCGGCGCAGCGCACGCGCACGCGCACGCGCACGCACGCGCACGCGCACGCACGCACACACGCACACGGACACCACCCACATCACATGGGGAAGTCGCTCATGCATCCCCACGACTTTTTGTGCTCTCGCTCGCTTTCGTCGGCCCCATCGGCGGCACGCTTGCGCCTCGGCAACTTTGAGGTGTGTGGGTTAGTGAGTCTGGGTGTTGGGAATGAACCGTTTCAGGAAGTTCCTAGGAAACCAGAGGAAATGGATGGCTTTTCTTAGGGGGCATTCCATTTCGCATTCCCTGCTGAGCACCAGCAAGTAAAAGTTGCGGCTCTCCTTTTGGACTCCCTTTCAACCAAACCAAAAAAAGGAACCCTCAAAGAAAGACACATCCATCTAGGCTGGTCTCAAGGTTGTTTGGGGTTCGGTACCCTCACCACATTGACTTGGACTCCTATGCTTCGAAGCGAGATGGCTTTCACTTACCCTGCACCTTGATTTGGTCCAACCTTCACTCATGGGGGGGGGGGGGGAAAGAAGGAGGAGCCTGTATTTTATTAAGGCCTCCATGGCCCATAGAGGAAAGATGTGGGCTCCCCCCAGGTTTCATGGCCCGGAGAACCTCCGGCAGCTTGGATCAAACATGGCCGGCGGGAGGCGGCGCGGCGTAGGAACCCGGCCCTCTTTGCGAGCGCATCCTGGCGGACATGGGGGGATCCTGAAAATGTTCAGGGAACCGCTCGAGTCACAAGCAAACCACTGCCCAAAAGCCATGGTGAAGAGTGCGGCTTCTGCCGCACCTGCTGGTTTGACCTTCAATTCAGCAGCACCCACCTCGCCTCCAAACCACAGCTCCACTGAAAACCCCCGACCTACTTTGCCATTTGCCTGTGGCTCAAATAAATGGAACCCAAAATGGCACCTTGGCCAATAGAACCTATTTGCCCTAGTTCTTTCATTTTGACCCTACCTTGCCATTTCCCGTCCTGTGCACGTGCTCGCGAATCACGTGCCCGTTGCTGGCGCCCCAGATGGAGAAGCAGACCGCCTCGTCCTCCGCGCCGAAGTCCGCGCAGAAGCCCAGGTACTCGTCCACCAGCTCCTGGCAGGTACCACGTCTCAGCAGGGCTGTGGGAAATGACCTTCTGTGATACAACAAAAAGGGCTTCCCAAAGACTAACCCCCAATATAAAGGGGGAGATTCCCTTGTATCACAGAAGTGGGGAAAAACCCTTGATCCCACAACCCTGCGTCTCAGGCCGCACTTGGGGGGGGGGGGGGGGGAGCTGTGGGGGGGGAGGGCGGGAGCTCCAGGAAAAAGGGCGGTGGGGTGATTTCCGCAAGAACCAATTCGGGGGGTTCAAGTACCACAAGCCACCAATCCGAACTACCAAGTACGGGGGTCCCCATGAACATGATGGATCCCCTTTTGCGACATTTGAATGAGTCTCAACAGAAAACAAATAACCGATTAGTTGTCTCATCGAAGGTCCGGCTCGTGGCGAGCTGTTCCTATTTAATTAATTTGAAAGAAAAGAAGAAGAAAAAAACGGGCCGTTGATCAAGAATCGTACCCAAAAAAAACGAAAAACACGCCCTCCGGCGGAGGCCAGGCTTTTTCCAGACCACAAACTTGGAGCTTGGAGTTTCAAAGGACTTTGAATTTTGGACACCTCCGGTCCTTTTTTCCTGCCACCACCTGAGTCATACTCAAAGCCCGGTATTACAATGGTCCACCCAGAACCATGTTTCAAGAATCAAGAAGGCGGATATCCGCAGCTATCTGTGGTTGGGATTGCCCTTAACATTCCCCTCGCCCGGGTTCGGGTTGCCTACCTTCCTTTTAGGTCAGAATCGCCCACGAAGTCCCCAGTCCGATCCCCGGTCCTCCGCCCCCGGAGCTTCACAACCCTCAGCGCGGCTGAACAAGGCGGGGTCATTCAGCAGCTGCTCGGCACACATGATACCCTCGCAGCCCGTCAGCTGCAGGTTCTTCACCTAGAGCTGACCAGCTTTTCATATCCAAGGGCCCGAAAGAAAAAGGAGAAAAAAAAAGAGGAGCATTGGTTGGAGATGTAAATGGAAACTTGGACAACATGCGGTCCAATTCCTGGTGGATTAACTTTGACCCACACCCACCTAGAGCTGAAGAGATTCATGAAAAAGGCCCAAAAAAGAACCTAAGATGAGCATTGGTTGGAGATCCACTAAGATGAAACGTCCCATTTCAAAGGGGAAAGGCTACCAATGGCCCTTTGGGGTCAAAGATACAAAGCTACCCTCCACGGTTCGCCTTCCAGGACCCGAAAAGGTTGAGAGTTTCTCATAAAATGGTGGACCCCCTTTTGCTTCGTATACCACAGAGACGCCCAAGAAAGGAACCAACCCAGTTGGGGCCCGCTTTCAGACACCTGACCCATTTTGCGTCCACATTCTTCAAGGCCCCCCCCCCCCCGGATTCCAGGAACCCGCTTTTTTCCCCTTCCCCCCCCCAAATAAGGCTCCCGGCCACATCGCCCGGACACCGCACGTTGCCGTTGCTGAGCACCGGGATGCGCAGCGCCGCGCGCACCGCGGCAATGGCGCCCAGGTCGGCCGGGCCGTCGCGATGCTTGCTCTTGGTGCACAGCAGCTTCCGGCCGTGGACGGCCAGCAGCGCGCAGCCCGAGTCCTCCAGCAGCCTGAGGCCCGAACGAAGAGTGAGACGACTTACATGAAGAAGAAAGGGGAAAAGGGAAACCGATAGAAAACAAGCCAGTCTAGATGTCTCCCCCCCCCCCCCGCATTTTGAGCAACCACCCAACACAGGTTCTTCCCAAAGGCTAGGTCAAGGCCGTCAGTCACAAGTGGCAAAATCAAAAGTTTAGCTCCGTCCAGGCCACTTGGCAAACTTGATGGTGCCTGTCAAGGTGTGCTGCAGCCGAATCTTGCAGCACAAAGGGATCCGCAGCTCCTCGCAATGGGGATCGAGGTTATGTGTCAAAACAGGAGTACCCCCACATGGTGGTCGTCACGTTGGTTTCCTTTTCGGCCTACGCAAAAGGGCAAAACACACACCCACATGCCTCGCTTCAAACAACCTTGAGTCGCAATCAAAACCCAGTCTCAAAATCGTCTACCCAGAACCAAAGCATAGAAAAGGCGCTTTGCCGCACCCATCTACAGCAAGTGGAGAGTCCCTTAGCCTCCGATTTCCCGCATCGGTCTTGAGCAGGCGCGACTCACCTCCTTCCCGTCCCGTTGGCAGCCGCTCCTCGCACTCCGCACACCTCCGGACCATCTCGGAGATCAGCGGCCAGGAGGCCTCATCGTTGGCCAACCAGGCTCCGTACCTACCCCGAGTGCCGGGTGGGCGCAAGGGCGCCTTTCAACATGCGAGTCTGGCACGAGCATGCCGGGTCCCTCAGTTGCCCAGAACATGGAATTGGAATTGGAGGTGCAATATTTATATATATGTATATATACGTGTGTGGGCGCGTATGTGTCCATGAACAACTGGCTTGCAACCATACATCGCCTGGCGAGTCCAACGATACTATTGACCGGATGCGGGACCATGCGGGAGTGCGATTCGCAGCTTGACCATCTCACCACAAGCGCCAGCGGCCTCCCCTCACGGGCGCGGCGCTGGGGGCAGCCAAGGTTGATGTCAACCCCATCCGCGCCCATCTCCTGGCCATCAATCAGAACAGCGCTCAGACTCAGAACCAACCACTTGAAATCCAGTTCCAAGTCTAAGGAATCCATCCAAGTTGAGCGCAAAAAAAAATGGGCAACGGCGTAGCGTCTTGCTCGGTTCGAAGCCTACATGCCTCCAAATGGAGAGCTCGCCCTTCATTTTCTTCAGAGACCCCCCCAAACTGGTGGGTGTTCCTTCGGTGTCCCTTTAAAACACATCCCAAAAAGGGGGTACCGCCAAAACAAGACACACCCACATACCATTCCACCAAATGGGACTCAGTCAAACTTGGCCCAGTAGTTGATGCTTGAACCTCCCAAAGCACTCCTGAGTTTCTAACAGGCCTCACTCAATTAATGTTTGGCTCGTGGCTGGAATTGGGACCCCAGCAAAAAAAATGCCTGGTTAGTGGAAAACAATGGGAACCCCCAACAAAGCAAAAAAATACAAAGGGGAACCAATTCTGGGGAAGGTTTGTTCTCTCGGCCGCTCACGCCAAACTCCTGTGCCCGCAGCGCGGCCCGCAGCAAAGTCTCAGGGTCGTGGGCGGCGAACTGTACGATGAGAGGGTGGTCCTCCTCGCGCGTCACAAAGCAGGGATCCTTACATACCTGAACATTGCCTTGTAAATGGTGGTGTCCCTGTATTTTGGTGTTGAAAAAGCAACATGTTTCAAATGGCTGCAAAATGGAGATCTTTTAAGGAGCCCTACAAAGGCACCCGCCTTTTCTCGAGCCCTTGTGCCTCACGGCCACCCGGCACCAAGATCGGAAGTAGTCTGTTCTTGGGAGTGCCGCGTGCCTAAAGTTACACACCCAGACCTGCACTCGACTTGGCCATGCGTGTGCTTCTCTGCCTAAAGAAAGAAACAGCTCTCAGGTGAGTCGGGTTCCAAGCTCCGCACTACTTTCCGTCGGAAAAAACGTGTTGGCAAGCCAGTCTTGCTGGCGCGATAGGTAGGGAATGAAAACGAGTCGCGATCGATTCCGAACCGTTTCAAAATTCCCTTAGAGGAAACCACCAGTGGGAAGGCTTTTTTTTGCCGGTGTTGGGAATGAACCATTTGGGGATTCATTCCCTTAAAGGAAACCACCCGTGGGTTTTTCCCGGGGTCATTCCATGTCTCCTTCCCCGAGGACCGGACCCACCGGGCGCAACCCGACCGAGGCCGCGCGGCGGACGCGCCTCGTCGATCTTCTCCCCCAAGGCGCGGCGGCGATACGCCGCCTCCGCGGCGAAGTCCTGCGGCGAAGTCTGCGACGTCCCCGGCGAGAACTTCGGGGTGAACGCTCAAGACTTGGAGCACCCCTGCACACGTGCCACTTGGCTGTGGCTCAAAAAACCGGTACCAAAATGGAACCCTGGTAAGTGGAACCATGAACCAAAACCTGCACAACCCTAGCTCTTTCATTTTGAGCCACACCCACTTCATTTTGACCGATTAATAAACCCCACCAGGCCCGTGTATTAATAGGGGGGGGGGTTCTGGAGGGAAACACCCCTTTTTTTATAGACTGGGTTAATTGATCTGGGGTCAACATGACAACAAGATGCCTGGGCTCAGGCAGCTCACATAGCAATACCAAAGCTTCCCCAACCTCCGAACCGAAGCCCGTCAAGTTTGCAGTTCAGCATGGCTTCCTTCGATGTGCTACTCACAAAATGGTCCAACTCGTTTCACCCACGGGACTTCGCTCTTTGAGTGGCTTGCCCGGTGTTTCATTCCATGTACCCTCTGCCAGAGGTTCAAAACCCCCAGGCTCGCAGAGGAATTGTCGACCGGGGATGTTCAGCCAAGATCCGCCAGATTCCTTTGAGAGTTGGAGCATCGCAGCTGCTTGGCGATCTCCGAAACCGTGGGTGTGATTTCACGCTTCGGAAGCCCCACACAAAACCACTCGCAAAATCACCCATCGCCCAGGACCACCCAACACCACCCAAACTCACCCAAAATCGCCCAAAACCACCCACAAATCACCCAACCCCAAGCCCCGAAAAAGCGTCAAGGCTTTCCTACCTCGCCTCGGCCATCAGCATCTCGGTGTAGCACAAGGTGCACCCGTACCTTCTCAGCAGCTGCCGAAAGGCCCGGTCGCTCTGCTTCACCATAGGCGCCATCACCAGAGCTGGGCTTTTCCATCCGCCGGGCAGAGCCCGCAGACGGGCATGGCCATTGCGGCTCATGGCTCGGCGCGCATGCGCCACGAAGGGCGGCGCTTGGGGCCCTTTGGGCCGAAGAGGTCGGAGCCACGGCGACCCCAACATCCAACGGCCAATGTAATTTGTGTGTTGCCCAAAGCCCCCCACCCCTTCCCCACCCCCCCCCCCTCCCCAAGCCCCAAGCGCCTCGTCCAGATTGCCTTGTTCCTCAAGCAGAAGTGCCAAGTTGTGGGCCGTCTGCAACGTGTCCAGGTGCCTTGCAAGGCCGGCCGCCAGCCCCCCAAACCGAAGCTTTTGATGAGCCGTTTCTCAACCAGCTTGGACCCCGGAACTCAATTTGATCACCTTTTGGGGCTGTGACGAAAGATGGACCGGGGAAACCAAAAGCTTACAAGGTTGGCTTTGGGCAATCAGCTCGCAAAAGAAGCTCAACAAACCATGCAAAGCATCCCGGCTTGCTCCAGGCAACCATGCCGCCCCAAACCTCCAAACCCTCCCAACGGCACAAGCAAGCTACGGGGTTCTTCCCGGCACCCCGGGCATGAAGCTCTTCTCTGCGTTCCGTGGGTTTCACCGGCGGCAATTCGAGAAGAAACAAGCGCAAACATGGGCACTTTGGGTGGTCTTTTCTAGAGCTGGTGCCCCAGTGGCGTGGGTTTTTGAAGGGAAACCAAAAGGCAAGCCGAGGAAGCCATCTTGGGGGGGTCCAAGCTTAACAAAGACCTACTAGAAACTACCCTGTTAAATTGGATTGCTTTGCGTCCCCTTGCACATAGAGCTGAAACCCTAAACCTCCAAACCACCTGACTTACACACACCCATGTTGGACGAAATCCCTTGGCATCACTTTAACATGGTCAAAACCCTTGTTTGTTGGCATTTCATTCGGAAAAAGGCATATGTCATTCCGTTGGGCTTCTACTGAGCGTTGCGAAATGGACCTCATCAACCATCCACCGCATTTTCCGGGTCTTCGCCAGTCCGCTTCTCTCAGCTCGGCGCTTCTCGCCCCTCATCTGCGATTGCCGCTGCAAGGTCTCCACCAGCAGCGGCTTGGCCTCCGACTCTCGCGCGTGGACGCATCGGCGGAGCGGCGGATCGGCGGATCGGCGGATCGGCGGATCGGCGGATCGGCGGAGGCGGATTTCGCCTGGTCCAGGCGATCCAGCTCAAAGAGCATGTTGGCCAGGTTGGACATGCTGCTCAGCCTGGATGCCCCCCGCTCTCTCTCTCTCTCTCTCTCTCTCTCTCTCTCTCTCTCTCTCTCTCTCTCTCTCTCTCTCTCGCTCTCTCTTTCAGCCTCTCAGCCTCTCACTGTTCGCATGTGTATGTGTATATATATATATATATATGTGTATATGTGTATATATATATATATATAGATATATATATATATGTACCAGTCCCTGGGCCACGTACCCCCCCCCCCCCCAATGGTATGGTCCCCCCACTCCCCCGCATCATCCGCATCTTGGGGATGATGCTGGCAATGCTGGGGATGCTGTCCAGCTTCGGTCCCAGGCCCCCTTTCACCCCGTGAACCAACACCCCCGCACCTCTCGCAACATCCTACCCTAAACCAAACCACCCTGCAACCCCTCCTTAACCCCAACCCTAAGCCTAAATCAACCCAAACCCCAAACCCACCCGAAACCCACCGCAAACCAACCCTGAACCAACCCTGAACCAACCCTAAACCAACCCACCAAGCCTCAACCAACTCCGAACCACACCCCAACCACCCAACCACCCCACCACCCCACCACCCCACCACCCCACCACCCACCACCCCACCACCCCACCACCCCACCACCCCACCACCCCACCACCCCACCACCCCACCACCCCACCACCCCACCACCCCACCACCCCACCACCACCCCACCACCCCACCACCCCACCACCCCACCACCCCACCACCCCACCACCCCACCACCCCACCACCCCACCACCCCACCACCCCACCACCCCACCACCCCACCACCCCACCACCCCACCACCCCACCACCCCACCACCCCACCACCCCACCACCCACCCCACCCCCACAGGGGGGGGGGGGGTTGGCCCAACCACCCAACCACCCCACCACCCCACCCACCCACCCCACCCCACGGGAGGGGGTTGGGGGGGAGGGGGTCCACGGCCTGGAACATATATACATATATATATATATATATATATATATATATATATATGGAGACATAGACATACATACTTAGATATGTTGTACATACATGTGTGTGTGTGTGTTAGCTTGGCAAGCAAGAAAGAATCACTGACCTTGGGACACTTGGGGCTCGCACGTATACGGGTGGAACTCGCCCAAGGCTTTCTTGCAGCCGTGGTGAACCTGTCGCGGCCGTGAGCCGTGCCCGAAACAAAATGGCGCCCGAAATGGCGAAGGGCGACGCGCAAAGCCCGGTATGTGCTGTTTGTCCCAGGGGTTGGGTTCCTGTAAAATGTAGCGAGTTTCTATGTGCCTTTGTGCATAGAGAAAGTTCACCAAATACCAAACCCAGGGTTTGGGCGAGCTTCCTGTAAAATGTCCAGTGGCTAGTTTCGGAGATCTACCCAGAACCATGTAAAGAATTCATAAGCCGGCCTACCTATGGTTGGCACTGGCCCTCAACCTTCACGCCACCCGAATCGGTTTTGAACAAGAGACTCGTCACATCACTCAAGTGTGTACCCAAACATGGATGGCCTGGGCCATTCTAAAGGCGTACGTCGTTCTCATGACGGTTTTTAAGTGAGCCTAAGGCGTCCTCATCGACGCTTCACGGGTCGCAAGCTGAGGCCACTTCCACCTCTGGGGCCACTTCCACGAGGCCTCCTCGTAGAGCTGAACTGCCTCCGAGGACTTCCCAATGTCTCGCAGCGCCTGTGAGACATGTGGTGCCACATGGCATGTGCCACATGGCTGGCAGGGCAACAAGATGAAACCCTGGCAAATGGAAACAAGGACTAAAACCTGCAGTCCAATTCCATGTGGCTTAGTTTTGATCCATACCCAAATGGAAGCCTCCAGCTTGCGAGCTGAAAGCCAAGAGCGCCCCATGTCAAGAAGAAAAAAACACTTCCTCAGTCGGAGGAAGGCTCTCAGTCAACACATCGAATCCGTCTGTCCAGCGCCAGGTCGTTCATGAGAGTCAGCGTCTTGGCGTGCATGGGCCCATGCTTCAGCCGCATCTCCCTGGCCCGCGGAATCTGGAGGCTTCCAAGACTACCGAATGCCCCCTGAGGGACCCGGAAGAGACCAAATGACGGAAGGACGGAAAGAAGATGACGCCGAACACCGCAAGTTGGTCTGGAATCCCAAGCCTCTCAGTTGTGAAAACTTCCTTTTGCTGCGAGTCTGCAAAACTGTGCGGCATCGACATGAGACCAGGGACTGAAGCACAAGGCTCTCGATACATCGATTTCCAGAAAAATATCTTGAGCAAGGAATCTCCTGGTTTCAACGGAATCCACCAAACAAGCGGAGAGAAAACGCCCAGAGCGCGCCCCAAAGTCCACTGGGGCAAAGTCTGTTCGCGCGCTTGATCTTCAATCGCAGGGTAAGGGGACTACCCGCCAATCGACTTCCCTGTCCTTCCCCCCCCCCCCCGCAATCATCCACCCCCAACCCACTCCCCCACCCTTTGGCCCCCACCAACCTTTTGACCCACCCCCTCAACTCCAAGCCCTGCAACCCCTGAACTCCAAGCCCTCAGTTCCATACAGGCCAGTGCCCGCCGAATCTCGCTCTTGAGCTCATCAATCTGCGAGAACTCGACTTGGACCTTGAGAGAAAATGTGGCTGTGGTTGTCAAAACCAACGGTACCATTTTGGGGTACGTGCACCACACATTTTAGAACCTATTCTAGTGGGGATTGGGATGTTCCCTGGGGCTGCGGGATTTTGACCCATGGCCATGTCAGTGATGAAGATGAAAAGACTGCGATGGGATAAGGATCCCCATCCAGTGCGAAACAATGCAGAATGAAAGACCCAATGGGCAATATTTCTTGCTGGTTCACTTGGTTGGTTGCCTCCGCTCTTTTGGGAGAATGGGGAAATTGGGTAGTTCTCCTGGTGTCATCCCTGAAGGAACCTCGGACCAGGAATCCAGGAATGTTAGCGCTAACATCATAAAATTGTAGAAACTGAAGAGAACCGGTGCAGTTGTTTACATGCAGGCAGCCTAAGCAGTTTTTCTGGGACCTTCCTTGGACCTTCCGTTTTTAGATACCCCAAGTTTGACTCTTCAACCCCAGCTGTCTTTGCTTGGATCCCCAAGATTCGAGTCGACCTCGTGTGCACGAGCTGACTCTCTCGCCTTCGCATTGTTCTCCTTGTTGGTCACCTTCTTCGACTTACGCCTTGGAAATCTCCCGACCTCTCCAAACTGACTTGGCCCGTTGCAAACAAGAAAAGGTGCCAAGTCACTTGGCCGCCTGTCAGCGTGTTCGAGAGACACTTTTGGGCTTATCTCCATGTTTCATTGGATCGTCTCCCAGCCCCAGCCTTCCACGCCCGACCTCCACTCTCGGGCCGCAGCGAGGACACCGACTTCCGGTTCATCTTGAGAGGCCTTCCAGCGCAGAAAGTCTGCGACCACAAACTCCAACCAGCCGAATGCGATCGCGATCTCGGGGAATGACAAGTCCGGGTTGAACGGGAATGAACCGGTTTTGGGGATTCCTCGAAAGGAAACCAAATCGGAAACGGATGGCTTCTCTCGGGTTCATTCCATTTCTTATTCCCTGCCTATCGAACCAGCAAGTCCATGGACCCCCTTTTGCTTGGTTGAACCTTTGGAATCCAGCGTGAGAAGTCCACCTCAATGCTTCAGGCTGTCTAAAAAAAGTATTTGGTAAAGACTGGGGAGGACACCCCCAAAAAATGCGAACGGTGTTCCTGTTGTTTTCCCCGTAAACCAACCCCGATAAGGGCACACGCAAAAAACGACACACCCGGATACGTCTCTGACCTTGGGCGGCGCGGCTCATGACAATGGCAACGAGCCAAATTGATTTGCGGAGTTCCAAGCCTCACGAGAACTTTTCACGGACTACAACACGTTTCGGGCACTCCAAAACTCCATCCCTCGAGAAGCGGATTTTTCTTTCTCTGCCACGGGTAGAAAAGCGCGCCCGGCCCGCGCGAAAACGCCGGACTTCTTCTGCCGCCGGACTTCTTCTGCCTCCACCGTCGCTCACGGCCACGGCCCGAAACTCTCTCGCAAGCCGGGCTCCGGGCGCAGCTTCGAAGCGAAAGGCACCTGGACTCGCCGAAGGAGTTGCGAAGCACGGGGCCGTCTGGACGGCTAGGAATAACCAAAGGGACGGTCTCAAGTAAGTGATGTCTACAAAATTCACACCCAAGTGAGTAGTGAGGTGGAACTCCAAGAACCGTCTCAAGTGATGTCTGCAAGTTTCACGCCCAAGAGGTAGGACTGCAAACCCGGCTTTTCCACGAACCTAGAAAAATCCTGGCCCCGTCTTTCAACTGGTCAAGACTTCCGCCAAAAGAAAAAGAAAAGACAAAGCAAGGCCCAGCTTGCAAAAGCTCGCTTGGATGTGTCGTCTGATTCCACCTGAGCCCGTGGCTCTTTGGCGGCAGCTCATCTTCGGCCACGGCATGACGGCATGACTAGAAACCGACCCGATCCAAGCTGCGGTGACGGCGCACTGGGAAATTGCGACAGTTCGGATCCCACTCACACGCCTCTCTTTGCCCGCAAAGATCAGGGCTCTATCTCTCTCTGTCTCACACAGGGGGCAGGAAGCAAGGGAACACCTTGCAAAACAAGTCTTATGATGCTTGGGGAGGTTGAAAGAGAAGAATAAGTTCTTATCACATCGATATTATTTGGCTCATGGTTTCCCCCTTCTGGCTGTGACACCGTGAAACGGATGCCTTGACTTGGTCATGGCCACGCGTGTCTCACGCGTTCAAAATTCGAGAAAAGGATGGCGCCCTCCGCGTCTCCCCAGCACCTCGTCTTCGAAAAACAGAACGGGCAAGGCGACTTGCCCCATCCTTTCAAAAGCAACCTTGGCCCCTGCTTGAAACCGGATCAGCGCGCAAAACCCCACTGACTTGTGGTGGCCACCTTCATTGGCATAGCAAAGTCCAAAGCTCCTTCATGCGTGTACAACCGGTTTAGGGGTTCTGTAAAGCAACCACGAATGGGTTCCACAAAAAGGGAGGCTTCTCTCACAGGGGTTTGCTGGGGCACGCGTCACTCTTCGGAGCCCTCTTTCCCTGAGAGACGGGAGGTACATTGGCTTCCCTCCGTGGCTTTGCAATGAAAAGACGTGCAAACCGCCAAAAACTCCCAGGCGTTGGCAGGTTTACCAATCAGAGAATCGACCAGAACCCCCCCCCCCCCCAATTTCTTGGGGGGACTCCCCGACTTTGGCGACAAACCCTGAAAAACCAACCATTAAGCTCCGGACGCAGCAGCGGCGCACTGGTCGAGCCCCAGCCTGGAAAAAAAAACTGGAGAAAGGGATGGCCTGAGCGCTGGGCGTCTCCCACTCTAAAACCTGCAAAAAACATGGACAAGCCGTAATCGTTGGCACCTAGCCCGGGCGCATGTGCGGGGTGTGCGCGCGTGTGCGTGTGCGTGTGCGCGTGTGCAAGTGCGCGTGCGCGTGCGCCTGCGTGTGCGCGTGCGCGTGCGGGTGCGGGTGCACGCGTGTGCGTGCGCGTGTGCGTGCGCGTGCGCGTGCGCGTGCGCGTGCGCGTGCGGGTGAATGTGCGGGTGGGTGGGTGTGCGGGTGGGTGGGTGTGTGTGTGTGTGTGGTGTGTGCTGTGTGGTGTGTGTGTGTGTGTGTGGTGTGTGTGTGTGTGGTGTGTGTGTGTGTGTGAATGCTTATGTGCTTATGTGTGTGTGCGTGCGTACGTACGTGCGTCGCGGCGTGCGTGCGACGCGGGTGCGCGAGAAGCGTCTGTGAAGAGCGTGCGTCTTGTGAGCGTGCGTGCGTCTTGTGAGCGTGCGTGCGTGCGTGCGTGCGCGTCTTACGCTTGCGTGCGGCATCGTGCGCATGCGCAGCGCGTGCGCGTCTTGCGGCCGATAACGGCGTCTTGACGTGCGGCGTCTTGTCTGTTGCGTCTTGCTTATCTGCGTCTCGGGGCGCGTGCGTGTGCGCGTGCGCAGCGCGTCTTGTGCGCGCTTGGCGTGCTGTGCAGCCAGCGCGTTAGCTGCCGTGCGTGCCGCGCGTGAAAAGTGCGCTGCGCGCCTGCGTCGTCATCATCGCATCTTATCGTAACATGTGTCATGCGTAAATGCATCGTGCGTAAAGCGTACGTAAAATGCGTAGGGCGTAGGTGCGTAGGTGCGTGGAAAGTGCGTATGTGTGTGCGTGCTACGTAAATGTGTGTAAACCAAGTGTGTGTGTATTTGTGTGTAATATTTCTGTGTGTATGTATGTTTGTATGTATTTCATGTGTGTGTTTCTTGTGTGTGTGTTTTCTGTATTTTCTGTTGTTTCTGTATCTCTGTGTATCTGTGTGTGTGTTCTGTTTCTATGTTTTTCTGTATGTGTATTTCACCCGTGTGTATTTCTGTGTGTTATATTTCTTGTATGTGTGTTTGTGCGTATGTGTGTGTGTGTGTCGCGTAAGCAAGCAGCATCATGTACGCATCTGCAGCAGCATGCGTGCGTACGTGCATCGTACGTATCATGCGTACGAAATGCATCTGCTTATGCATCTGCTACGCATCATATCATCGCATCGCAGCGTGCGTATACGATGCGTATAAATAAACGTGCAGCAGCATCTTAGCCTGCGTAAACGCGTGTCAGCAAATAATCATCTTATCTGCATCTGTTAAAAAAGAACGAAGCGTCACGCATCGCAAAGCCTTGCGATGGCTTATGCATTAATAAATAAGCGGCAAAGCATCAAAGCGAAAAGCGGCGAAGCGCTGTAGCGAGCGGCGAGAAGCGTAAATGCATCGCGTAGAAAGCGTAACCTTATCATCTGCTGCGCTCACGCGCATCTGATGCCCAGCGTGCGTGTACGAGCAGCGCGTAGCGATGCGCCTGTATGCGTATGCGCGCTGGCGTACGTATGCGTATGCGAACAATGTATGCGTACGTATGCGTATGCGTATGCGTATACGTATGCGTATGCGTATACGTATGCGTATGCGTATGCGTATGCGTATGCGTATGCGTATCGTATGCGTATCGTATGCGTATGCGTATGCGTATCGTATGCGTATGCGTATGCGTATACATTATGCATACGTATGCGTATACGTATGCGTGCGTACGCGTATCGTATGCGTATATCGTATACGTATCGTATGCGTATGCGTATACGTATCGTATGCGTATGTTCATATCTTCATGTTCGTATGCGTATGCATACATAAGTATGCATATGCGTATACGTATGCGTATGCGTATCTGCTTATCTGCTTATGCGTGCTGCATGCTTATCTGCTTATCTGCATATCTGCATGCGCATCTACGCTTATCTGCATCTGCTTATCTGCTTATCTGCTTATCTGCTTATCTGCTTATCTGCTCTGTATCTGTATCTGCATCTGTATCTGTATCTGCTATCTCTCTGCTATCTGTATCTGCTTATCTAGCATCTGCATCTGCTTATCTGTATCTGCATCTGTATCTGCTTGTCTGTCTGTATCTTAGCATCTTAGCATCTGTATCTCAGCATCTGCTTATCTGCAATATAGCATCTTAGCATCTGTAACCTTAACCTTATCCTTAGTAGCATATCAGCAGCATGCCTTATCAGCAACAGCAATCCATATATATAATAAGTGTGACAAGCAGCCAGCAGCATCGCATCGCATCGCATCGCGCGCACGCCGTCGCGTAAGCGTATGGCGTAAGCGTAAGCGTAAGTAAGCGTGGCGTGCGTAGCATTAAGCGTGGTATAAATATACCATCACTAAATGTGCGTATCGTATCGTAATATCATAAATGTATTCGTATCGTATCGTATCGTATCGTATAAGTATAAATATCGTATCGTAAATATGTATGTCATTAATATTCGTATAAATATCGTATCGTATAAATATCGTATAAATATCGTATCGTATAAATATCGTATCGTATCGTAATAAATATATACGTATCGTATCGTGTCGTGTCGTGTATCGTATCGTATCGTCGTGTCGTGTCGTGTCGTGTCGTGCGTATCGTGATGTCTCGTATCGTATCGTGTATCGTATAAATGTCGTATCGTAATAAATGTCGTCGTATCGTCGTATCGTATAATCGTATATCGTATCGTCGTGTCGTGTCGTGCGTATAAATGTCGTGTCGTGTCGTATCGTAAGTGTGTCGTCGTGTCGTGTACGTGTGTGTCGTGCATCGTGTCGTGTCGTGTCGTGTCGTGTCGTGTCGTGTCGTAATACGTGTGCATTAATAGGTAATAGTGTGGAAACATAGAGTAATAGGTAAAGTATCATAATAAATGTCGTAATAAATGTCGTGTAAATATGCATTAATAAATGTTAATAGTAATAAGTGTCGTGTAAGTGTGTGTCGTGTAATAGGTAATAGTCGTGTCGTGTCGTGTCGTGTCGTGTCGTGTCGTGTCGTGTCGTGTCGTGTCGTGTCGTGTCGTGTCTCGTGTCGTGTCGTGTCGTGTCGTGTCGTGTCGTGTCGTGTCGTGTCGTGTCGTGTCGTGGACAAGTAATGTCGTGTCGTATTAAGTCGTAAGTGTAATCGTGTACGTGTCGTGTGGTATCGTGTCGTAATAGGTAATAGTGTCGTGTCGTAATAGTAATAGTGTGGGTAATAGGTCGTGTCGTAATGAGTAATAGTCGTGTCGTGTCGTGTCGTAATAGGTAATAGTGTATTAGTGTAATAGGTAATAGTAATAGGTAATAGGTAATAGTATAGTAATGTAATAATAGTGTAATAGTATTAGTGTCGTGTGTAAATTAATAGGTAATGGGTATTATTAGGTAATGGGTAATAGGTATTGAAATTATTAGGTAATGAGTATTAGGTAATAGGTAATAGGTAATAGGTAATAAGTATTAGGTAATAGGTAATAGGTAATAGGTAATAGTGTGTATAAGTAATAAGTAATAGTCGTGTAGGTGTGGGTGCGTGCGTGTGCCTTGTGTGCCTGGGTGCCTGAGTGGCGTGTGAGTGAAATGTACGTGCGTGCATCACATCACAAACCGCTCATCATGCATCGTGCGCATGCGTGCGTTATCGTGCGTCGCGCGTGCGTACGCGCGTACGTGCGTGTCGTATGTGCGTGCGTGCGTGCGTGCGTGCGTACGTCGTGCGTGTGTGCGTGGTGTGCGTACGTAAATCCGTGGATAATAATACGTAATAATAATGTGCGTAGGTAATAATGCGTAGGTAATGTGGGTATGTAATAATAATATTATATATTAATATAATATATGTATATATATGTATAATATAATAATAATAATAATAATAATAATAATAATAATAATAATATAATAATAATAATAATAATAATAATAATATAATAATAATAATATAATAATAATATGTGTATGTGTATATGTGTGTGTGTGTATAATGTGTAATATGTATATGTATTTGTATATTTATGTATTTAATAATATATAATATGTTAATATATATGTTATTATATTTAATAATATTTAATAATATTTATTAATATTATGTATTTAATAATTTATATTAATAATATTATAATATTTAGTATATTTAATAATATTTAATAATATTTAATAATAATAATATTTAATAATATTTAATAATATTTAATAATATTTAATAATATTTAATAATATTTAATAATATTTAATAATATTTAATAATATTTATAATATTTATAATATTTAATAATATTTAATAATATTTAATATATATTGTTTATGTGTTTATTAATATTTGTGTATTTAATATATTTAATAATATTTATGTATAATATTTTGTGTATTTATATTATTTATTATTATTTAATAATATTTATATATTTAATATGTAGTATATATTTAATAATATTTAATATATTTATATATTTAATAATATTTAATAATAATTTATTAATATTTAATAATATTTAAATATTATTTAATAATATTTAATAATATTTAATAATATTTAATAATATTTAATAATATTTAATAATATTTAATAATATTTAATAATATTTATGTTTGTTTGTGTGTTTGTGTGTTTGTGTGTTTGTGTGTTTGTGTGTTTGTGTGTTTGTGTGTTTGTGTGTTTGTGTGTTTGTGTGTTTGTGTGTTTGTGTGTTTGTGTGTTTGTGTGTTTGTGTGTTTGTGTGTTTGTGTGTTTGTGTGTTTGTGTGTTTGTGTGTTTGTGTGTTTGTGTGTTTGTGTGTTTGTGTGTTTGTGTGTTTGTGTGTTTGTGTGTTTGTGTGTTTGTGTGTTTGTGTGTTTGTGTGTTTGTGTGTTTGTGTGTTTGTGTGTTTGTGTGTTTGTGTGTTTGTGTGTTTGTGTGTTTGTGTGTTTGTGTGTTTGTGTGTTTGTGTGTTTGTGTGTTTGTGTGTTTGTGTGTTTGTGTGTTTGTGTGTTTGTGTGTTTGTGTGTTTGTGTGTTTGTGTGTTTGTGTGTTTGTGTGTTTGTGTGTTTGTGTGTTTGTGTGTTTGTGTGTTTGTGTGTTTGTGTGTTTGTGTGTTTGTGTGTTTGTGTGTTTGTGTGTTTGTGTGTTTGTGTGTTTGTGTGTTTGTGTGTTTGTGTGTTTGTGTGTTTGTGTGTTTGTGTGTTTGTGTGTTTGTGTGTTTGTGTGTTTGTGTGTTTGTGTGTTTGTGTGTTTGTGTGTTTGTGTGTTTGTGTGTTTGTGTGTTTGTGTGTTTGTGTGTTTGTGTGTTTGTGTGTTTGTGTGTTTGTGTGTTTAATATGTTGTGTGTAATGTGTGTGTGTGTTTATTATTTATTATATTTAATAATATTTAATAATATTTATAATATTTAATAATATTTAATAATATTTAATAATATTTAATAATATTTAATAATATTTAATAATATTTAATAATATTTAATAATATTTAATAATATTTATGTGTGTAATGTGTAATGTGTAATGTGTAATGTGTAATGTGTATAATGTGTAATGTGTAATGTGTAATGTGTATGTGTAATGTGTAATGTGTAATGTGTAATGTAATGTGTTAATTGTGTGTGTGTGTCTGTGTGTGTGTGTGTGCGTGGGTGTGTGTGTGTGTGTGCGTGCATTTCTGGTGTGTGCGAGCTTGTTGCTGTTTGCTGTTTGTTTGTGTTTGCTTGTGTTTGTTCTTTTCAAGATGCTCGAAACCGGGGGAACCTGTGCAACCCAATTTTTCCCAACGTGGTTTGGAGTACCCCGTTTGGGTTCGTGAGTTTGAGGCTTGATACCTTGAGCAAGTTGTGTACTTGCTTTGCTGAAGAGCGTTTCTAACTGTCATGTCTGAATCAGTCAACGGGGTCCTCCGCTTTCGATTTTGTAACGTGCTGCTAATTGCTGCGCTCATTCAAGCAAGAGTAGCTGCCAATATCTTAGCATATTTCTTTCATTTCTGTTTGTATTTAAAGCTCTTAGCTTCTTCATCATTCTTCTTCATAGCTTTCATCATTATTCTTCATAGCTTTCATCGTTCTTCATTCTTAGCTTCTTTCTTTCTTTCTTTCTTTCTTTCTTTCTTTCTTTCTTTCTTTCTTTCTTTCTTTCTTTCTTTATTTCTTTTTGTTCTTTCTTTCTTTCTTTTTGTTCTTTCTTTCTTTCTTTCTTTCTTTCTTTCTTTCTTTCTTTTCTGTTCTTTTCTTTTCTTTTCTTTTTTTTCTTTTCTGTCTTTACTTCTTTCTTCCTTTCATTCAAGTTGAAATAGAATTCAAGTCGATTCCAGTATGGAAAGACAAGCGAATTTGCCTGCCCTTCAATGGAGAGAAGAACCAGAGGCTCAAGGACAATGCGATTTCAGTTCCTTTAAATTGCCACGTTTTAAGTTTAGATCATATGACAATTAGCATTCAATGCAAAATCGAACTTTAAATTAGAATTAACATAGGGCCCTTTCCAAGTAAGATTTAAATTGGGATTTATAGAGAAACAGATGAGGAGAAACTAGCTTGGTGCGCCTGCCTTCTAATGTTCAAGCCCCTCAAAAGGAGTCAAAAAACAGTAAACAGCCATGAAAACTCATTTGCTTTTCCGATTGGTTTGCAAGTTTTAGATTGCAAGGCTTTAAGTTTCAATGGGATTTCGGTTAGGATTCACTTCAAGTTTTCATAGATGTTGAATAGTAGTTCCCTTCCAAGTAGGATTTCGATTATAGTATAATTAGAATTCTTACTCTAATTCAGAAGCTAAATTCGCAATTTAGATTTGCACGAGTTTAATTAGAATTCATAACATACACTGAGCTAGAACCAAAACAGAAAGTTCATCCCAGTCTAAATTTTAAATAGGAACTCCTGTCCAAGTCCAAAGCTTAATGCTAATTCTAAAATGATTGAACTAGAATCTAGTAAGGAATTACAAGCTTATTGTTTCTTCTGAGTATTTCAATTACATTTGTTGAATCACAATTTAGGAATGTATCCATATATGATGTTGATTAGGTTTTAATTACAATATAAATAGAATCTGGTAAGGATAGACAGTTGGTTGTTTCTTCCAGCTAGTCCAAATAGACGCCTTACACTTAATTGGATGCTTCAGGAGAACTAATTAGAGTTCGCATTGTGAAATTGATTTGAAACAGGAATTCCTTGCAAGTAAAAACTTTAAGTAGAATTCAATTGGCAACTAAATGGAATCGAATAAGGAAAGAGAGACAAGCCGGCAATGTCTTCCAATTTGCCTAGACAACAAAAAACAAACCCGAGAACAGAAGTAGACCCTATTCAAAAAAAGGGGGGGGGGGGGAAACGCGACATCGAGAAAACCAAAAAACAAAACAAAAACTCGAGAAAGCCATAAAACCATGTTTTCGGCTTTCCGGAACTTTCAACATGGGTTGAAAGAGTTTCCAAAACACGTTTTTGTTTGTGTTAGTTTTCTCGAGGCTAGTTTTATGATTTGTTTGGTGTTCCTCGAGCTGTTGTTTTCTGGTATTCACAAGATGTTTCCTCTGCATACGTTAGATCTAAAGTGAAACTGGCGTGGCTGGCACATGGGAAGACTCAAGAAGCGTGCAAGAAGCGCCCTACCAGGGTTGCCTGCTATGAAAAAAAAGGAGGGGAAAAAAAAGCGCCAAGGCCGCACCTCGCGGTTGGGACTGTCCCATGGGAATTTGGTTTCCGGTCTCCTGTTTGAGGCTCACCTGATGGTCTGTGCATCGATGTGGGTGTGTCTCAACATAGGGTGACCCCAAAAGGGCTTCCAAGTTCGGTTCAACTCCAAGAAAGACGTGCCATGTCTAGTCAAAGGGTGAAACTGACTTCCGGGTCTTCTTTAAGCCCCCAAAGCTGCCTTAGCCTGGGCAAACCTCGCCAGGCATCCCGAAAACACTCTCTTGAATACTGCAAGTTTGTGGCACAAGGAGAAGTCCGCGACTTCCCCTAGTGTGTGACTTGCATATGTTTCTAGCACTCAGCAAAACCATCGGATAAAATCAAAGATCCCAATCAGCTTCCCAACTGCTGACTTGGATCGATGGAGAGGAAGGGGTAGCTTTGCACTTTTCCCCTCACCAAGAACCATGAGATTCTCCCTGAATTCATATTGATATATCGTATCTCCAGAATGTAGAGCTATCACATGCGATTCCATTCCTCTCAGGTCTCTATCTATATATATATACTAAGAGAATGTAGGCTTGGAAGGGAATGATGCTGTGATGGAGGACAAAACCACGCACCCAGGGTTCCACTTGTTCACTATCCCAAGATAGACTCAAACCCAGGAGTTCCCCTTTGGCGGGAATGAACCACTGGGTTTAAGTCTACCCGTCGTCAAAAAGTGGGACCCATGCACCAGTTGAAATAAAACAAGACCCTTCAAATACTGGGATACGCCATCAGCTGCTGGATGTCCATCCACAGTAGGATGACGGCCGGTGTGTCTTTTTCAGAGTTGGTACCCCCCTTGGTGCACTTGGGTCCAACCTCACAGGTGTCCTTTGGGTTTGAAAAAGATCGATTGCCTTTGCCGGACTAGAACAACCAGTGGAATCCATCGATGTTCCACCAAATTGATCAAAACAAAAATTAGAAGGGGGGAACAAAAACCCATGGAATTTCATTTATGTTCAACCAAATAATCTTACAAGGCCAACCTTAAGACACACCCATACCAAAGGATCGAGAAAATTAAGCCAAACTTAAGACCGAAGTGGCAAGCAAAGCCACGCAGCCACGCCCGCGCCTGCTAGGCGGTTGCTGTACGCCGGCGCCCGCACGGTGGGGAGCCGGTCACCTCGATGCTCGCTCGCTCGCTCGCTCGATCGCTCGGAGGCTTTGTTGGTCTCAAGCGGGGAACCCAAATGGCGCAGGTTACCTCCCGTTTTCAGCCTTCGAGTTTCTTGGGAGTTACCTCCCGTTTTCAGCTTCCCGGAGAAAAAAAAAACTGACACTAAAAGATGAAACGCCCAAATCCTCAGGGAAAGAAAAGATGGAGGAAGCTTGGTAGCTTCCGTTTTCACCAACCACGCTCCAAATTATTGTGGGGCATATCAATGATGAAATCATACGTCCCAGTGTCAATTGGCGATTGCCAGTTCGGCCGTCATGCTTCTCTGGGTTGGTTGATTCGAAGCCTCGCAAGACACGTGGGTGATATAAATGACCCTCCGAAAAGGCGCGTCAAAGGAATACTACTACTGATAATAATAATCGTAAGAGAATCAAAAAATGACAATAGTTATAGTATACCAACAATAAATAAATCATAATATCAACAATAATAGTAGTAATAATAATAGTAGAAGTAAGGTAAAACTTCCCCCGCTGGACTCAAAACTAAGGCCAAGTCTTCTTCCAAAGTCCGACTCCCCCCGCGCCGCGGCCAAAGTGGCCGCCATCTGCAGGGCCTCAGGCCATCGGCTCGCCTCCCAAAAGGCTTCCGAGCCGTCGCCTTACGACCTTGCACCTTGGTTGCTGTTGACACCCCCAAAAGCTGTTAACTTTTGGGGGGGTTAGTGTAACTCACTTTTATTGACCAAAAAGTTCAAATCTAAAGATCCGACCCAATAGCAGTCAAGGCACCAACATGGCCTCCAACATGAAACCCAAACACCGCATCTTGATTCTATCGGCATCTTGCTAGGGGGCCTGCTTTTCCAGTTCCAGTGCCTATATTTTTGCGGAGGGACGCACAAACCGGCAGCCAAATTCGCCCTGACGCGAACCAAAGCCTAGGTCCGCCACCCCCGAAGAGCGATGGGCTCGCACGCCCAAAGGCAGCGTCGCCGTCTTCACCGGAGCCTCGCGCCGATGTATGGCTCTGCACCCTGAAACTGCGCCGTCGATGTCTTGGGCTGAAACCACTCTTGTGGCAAACCGCTATGCAGTGTTGAAACCATTTCGGAGGGTTGTTGGATTTTTGTGTTGAAGCCACCCAAACGTGAAGTCCCAAGTCAAAAAAGAAACGCATCCGCGGTGTCCCTTGGCGCTCGTCAGCCCGCCTCCCCTTGAGGAATCGAGGTGAAGGTCGCGTTGGCTGGGCGCGTCTCATCTTTCGGCATCCTGAAAGCGGTTTCGGCGTGCGGCATATGACTCCCTCAGAAGCGGCCAAGAAGAACGGACTACTGTGGGTGGGACGAAATCATGCACCGCAGAGACCCTGGAAGGAGGATTGCCCTGGAAACACCAACAAACCATGGCTTCAACCATGGTTTTCCAGGTGCGAACGGATTTGTCCATCCACAGTAGCAGCTTGATGTGAATTGCTTGGATTGGATTCAAGTAGAGGGTTTCCATTCCCCGCGAAACAGAGGAGCAGAACTCCGACGTAAGCTCTCGACCCTGTGGGTCTCTGCCTTCCATCCAGGTAAGACATTCCTCGGGGCCGGGGAGAAAGAATCTTCCGGGCAGCTCCGCATCGAGGCCACCCCCTTTAGCAACAAAGGCAGCTCCGCAGATCGCAAATGGCCAGCCCCATTCACAGAGTCTCCTGGAAAATGTTCTTTTGGTCTCAGGCCCCTGCCGAAGTCATCCCGTCCAACCTGGAAGGAGTTCCTGCGGCCAGCCATGCCCAGGCGCGAACCCTCCATAGCCCTGGACCAAGCAAATGAATTCAAGGACACAGACGAGGTTCAAGCAAGCTCAATGCGACTCTCCATGGCAACTGGCAAAGCAAAAACCTTCGAGGCCAAAACAGCGAATCCAAACAAGTCACAACACTCGGAGGATCTGAAAAAAATCCTGGGCCAAACCCAGCCGAATACCGACCCGGCGCAAGGCGCACAGCGCCCTCGGAAAGCTCCCAGCCCCACTCGAGCCTCAGAAGCTGCACCGTGTGAAGCTGCGCGTCTTTGCTGGCACTCTTCAGGTCCTCAAAATTTTAGATCCATCTTCCAAATGGACCCTGCAAGTTCTGCCAGAAAGTCCAAGCGGATTGCCAAGGCAAAAGAACACCCTCGAGGAGTTTGATTTGAAATGCGTGCTTAGGCCGTTAGCTTGAAACCTCCTCGGAGAATTCCGCCCCATGCCGGCAAGAGGAGCAACAAGCCCATCCCAGAAGGACACCAGTTCCTATTTTGTGTGGTGTTTGTTTGTCCAAGGAGGGCTTTCTGCGCCCTTTGCAACTGAACATCTCCGGTAATTTTGCCACCCTGCCATGAGGAGCAAAAAGAATATTCCACGGAGGCCACACTTGTCTCTCCAAGAAGAACACCACCCCCCAATTTGGATGGTAGATCTCCAAAACTTGCAACCAGGAGGAAAACGCCAGCCACAAAGGATGCCCAATGCCCAAGACCAGCTGTTGCGGCTTTCGAACCGCTCTTCTGCCTTTGCGGCACCTACCGCTGAAAACCGGCGAAGCGGGAGTGCCAGCCCGGGATCGTTCGCTAAAGTTTTGAGCCAATTCTCGCGACGTCCTTGTCTGCAAGCACGAGCAAGAGGATCCAGCGAAACCTCTGCCATCGTTGTTCTTGGAGTAACAAGGCAGGGGCTGAGCAAAGTCGCAATACGGTCTAACCTCGGTTGCTTTCTGCTCCCCTGCTAAAAGTTTAATTTTTGGTTTTTAATCAAAAAAGAATGTTGGCAAAAAGTTAAAGTCCTAACATCCAAGCAAAATGCACCAAAGTAACATAGGATCTGGAGAGAAGAAGGCATCACCAGCCAATTAATGCGCCTCTCATGGTGGTGATGAAAGGATGGTGTCTTTCCTCTTCGTGCTCTCTTCATTCACTCTCTCGTCAAGTATTGTGACAGAGTGAAATATATCGAAAGTCCTTGTAGCTGGGTCTCGGCAGTCGTTCATTCAAAGGATGAAAGGCATGCTCCTCAGGCGCTGAAATCGCAAACTTTACTCCCGACAAACTGACAGGCAACCTGAAAACCTCTAAACTTTTACTCCTTGTCAGGGACTCCTTTTCTGGGGGTCCATGTTGATTTGCAGGGGACGCAGTTGGTCGATTCCAGTGACCTGCATTGTTTCTCAACCTCTCCACCTTGGACCCAGTTACACCCACAAACACGAGCGCGCGACCCAGGTCTCTCGATTGATCACCTTGCATGGGATGCGAAAAATCGGGCTTGCAATGTGCATATGCCACGGGGGACCCCGAAACGGCGGTTTTCCTTTTGGATTCCTTGAAAGAAACGGGCCAAAACAAAACGGGTTTTCGTTTTGGATCCCTGAAAAAAACGGCCCAAAACGAGTCTTCCTTTTGGATTCCCTGAAATTTAAAAGGCGCCAACAAAAGAACACCCTCAAAAAAGAGGCAACCACACCCATGCTCTCCATGTCGCCTCCCGCCAATATTGTGCTCGCTGGTGGGGTCCATGGTAAGAAGCGGTGAAGTCAACGCTTCCAACCTCGAAGCGTTGCAAAACGGGAGCCCGAAACAGGGCTCTGGATGTTGCAAGCCATATCTCCCAAAACTCACAAAGGAATTTGGGGAATGTCTGAACCCCACAAGAAGAAAACATGCCCTGCAAGTGATATATGGAACCGAAACAAAGCAGGTTTTAAGGCGCCAGCTCGAGCCATTGCATGGATGTGCGGACGGGACTTGGTACTGACTGTCAAACTTGCATCAAGGCGTACATAATTCCGTTCAATATGGCCTTGGTATAGATTGCTGAGCCAGATCTCTGTCATGGTCAAAGGAAAAGGAGCCAGCCAAACGCTGCGCAGTTTGCTGCATCATGCCTTCAAAACAAAGGACTGACTTGACTGGGAAAGCATCTTGCAAAAAACACAAACATCTGCTGCACCAAACTCATGCCACGCCTTATTCATTCCGTGAATGACATCCTTCCGGTAACTTTCAAGGTAGACGACGCTTTCTTCCAAAAATATTACCCCAAACACAATGCGCATAGCTATGTACATACAGATGAACATTTCTAGAGTGATAGCAGATCTATCACTGAAGAGGGGGCCGTTTTTGCTATTGCGCCACACATTTGCACATACATGCGTTCATGATTCTTATGCTGCAGTCTGGTACTGAGCCCTTATTCTGACATGCTGCCTTCATACCAAGTGCCCTACCGCCCTTGTAGTGAGGGCACCTGTCATGCGCGACAGTTCCCGTTGCCGTGGCCCGGATTGTCTTAATCCGACTGGGTTTCTTTCGCCATTGAGTCGGCTTGCTGTCGTTGGAGTACAGCTGAGTCGGGATGGCAAGGACCTGTCACTGGTACGCGGTCATGATGCAGCTGCAGCACAAGTGCCATGAAAATGTGATCCGGGTTCTAGCCATCCCGACCAGCATCAACAGAAATGACATCGGCGCGAAGGCGCTTTCAAGGGCCGGGCTGATGTTCATGACAGGCATGGTTGACGAGGATACCTGCGAGATCGGCGAGGATGAGCTCCGCCATGCGCGAAAGGTTGCGTGACAAGTGCACCAAGATCTTGGGCGGCCAGGGGATGGCTCTGGTGGCTTTTGTCAATATGGTCGGAATCAAGGGAAGGCGGAGGAAAACCAGCCCAATGGAGCGGAGAGATTGAATAGCCATGGCTGGCGTAGCCTTGAGCCTAGGCAATTGGCTTTGGTTTTTCTTCATGAAGATCAAGTTGGCCATCAGCCCTCGCTGGATGGATGTTGAGACCCACGAACACAGCATGGAGGCACGCAGGGCACTTGGCCGGCTACCTGGTTGGCACGCAGTTCCATGGGCTGCTCATCAAGAACAGCAAGTGCGGGAAATCCCTGCTGGGCAAGGGAAAGATGCAGGACGTGGAAGTCAAGAAGGTCTACATGTTGGAGGTCGTCACGGCGACTACACGAGGCACAAGAACTGAGGAAGAACATCAGCAGTTTCTAGGTGTTCCTCGACGGTAACTTCATGGAGAATGTGTGGGTTTTCCGCACACCTGCTTTGGTACGCAGATCAGGCAGCCTGTTGTGAAACTCTCATGTTAAGGCATGTTGCACTGCTCCTAGCTTGAACCCAAACATGAACCCCCAAAAGAACCAAGCAAGTCCGAAGCGGCCGCAGTTCTTTTTACCGGGATTGCTGAAAGTAGCACTGCTTCCAGGGCACTGGTGCGCCTGGAACAGGAGGCACGTTGACCCCCCCTTCAGTGTTTCAGGCAACCCCGGTATAAGCGAGGTTGCTGGGCCGCAGGCCTCATCACCCCCCCTTCAGAGTGGGGTTGTACCTGGCAGGGCGAATGTTTGCGTGGCCATGCACGCTGGGCTGTGAGCAGCCTGCAACTCAGGGTCTGCACTTTTTCCGGTCAGAGCGGCTTGATGTAAGCGGCTGGCTGACCCCGCCAGTTGTTCTGGCTGATAGGGCGACGACGGCCATTTGGTCGCAAGGCATGTCGGGATGCAAATAAGGCTGGCTAAGCAGTGACGGAGGCCGCTGCTAAATGCTCCGGGCGCCAGGGCGCATGCATCGGACACAGCTGAATGCCTCGGCCTGACATGGCTAGGCCCGCAGGGCTGAAGCGTATGCGGCTTTCAGGGCGATGGCTGAATCGGGCCAACCGACCTTTGCTAAGATCGTCTGCCCAATCATTGCACCTTCCTGGAACGTGCGTCGGCTGCAGCAGCACATTGTGAGCGAGCCCAGAAGGCTGTTAACTGCACGAAGAGTTGCAACGGCCAGGAGGTCGTGAACAACTTGTTAAGGCTTGCTTCCGTTGCGGAATTGTCTGTGCCTGAAGGCATGCTGAACGAGTAGTGCCCACCACCAATGTGGCTGTGGGTCGCTTGCAGCCGTGCTAGCTGTGCCAGCGTCTCGAAGCATGCGATGTACCGCTGTCCAGGCTTGACAAGGCAAGGCCACACGGCTCGTATGTCCTGCATGTTCCAGGTCTCGGCAAACCAAACCACCTGGGAGGATGTGATTGCCCAGCCTCCGATCCCTACCAAGTCGTCTTCGGCACACGCATCAGCGGCAGCCAGAGCTTGCAGCTGGTGTGGCCGCGCCAAGGGCTGAACAGGCGAGCGCTGAAAGCACAAGGCCAGCCAAGTAAGGCATTGTTGGCTGGACTTGGAAAGGCTAGTATATGGGTTACTGGGGTCCGCGGTGCGCACCCATGTAGGTTTGCTAGTGCCAGGCACCCGCGGGATGTCCTGAGGGCAGTGCATGGTGCGGCCCGAAATTTCCAAGATTTTGGAGGTTACTGTGATCCACAAGCCGGAAGGCTATGGCTAGTTTTGAGATCCTTGTTCAAGGATGCTCTGAAGGCTGACCACATTTGAGGCGGTATCGAGCGCGGGCTGTTGAGGTCTGAGTAGAGTGGCGCTAGCCAGGATCTCAGATGGAGGGCAACGCTAGTGGCCCAAATGAGCAGGCCTATGCACTGCTCGAGTGTTTTGCGGGGTACCCGTCGGTTCCCCAGCAGTGCTTTGATCAAGGCGTCCAGTTTGGTCAGCTTAGCGGACACGAGCTGAATGGTGTCGTGGGAGAAGTTGATCTCCCAACCGCACCAAACAAGGCTGTCCTGGAACTGCGCCTTTTTCCATGAAATGGGCGCTGCAATTGCGCAAAAGAAAAGCACCACCAAGGCAAACATATCTGGTGCGCTATCTCGGAAGAGCGCACACAGAAGGTCGTCCACAAAAAGGAAGGCTTTGTGGGGCTTCCAGGCCAGCAACCCATGCACCTGGCGAAGCGCCAGTGCGCTGCCACCAGAACGCCGAGAAACGGCCCCCAAAATGGACACTCTGTAATGATAGAGCTTTCCTTGAAAGGCGAAGAGTAGAAGGCCATGCTCTTCAGGGCGGACCTGCACCTGTTTGTGCGCGGCTTTGAAGTCAATGCTGGCGCCCACGAAGGCGCCTGGAGTGTCCTCTGGCTGCGTGGACAGCGCCAGGTCCGATGCCATTGGCAAGCTCAGGCGCTCTGGCAGATGGCATCTGGTATTCGCTTGGCACACGGTGCTGTCCAGGACAAGGCGCGGCTCTTTCCCTTCTGCAAAAACGACATTTAACTTGCCTACGGCAATGCCTAAGGGCCATTTTTCCCGAGCTTCGGCGATGCTAAGGCTGGTTTCTACAATCCAGTTGTTGGCAATTTCATTGCGCAGCAAGCCTTGCACAGTTTCTGGCTCGTCCTCGGCCATCTTCCAGTTGCCCTCACAAATTTCCAGATCCGGCGGCAACGCGGAGTCTGGCTTCTTTGCCGGCCATTGAAGGCTGGGTGCCCCGTGTTGCAGAAATGGCAAGAGGGCTATGTCTGGGTCACCCCAAGAGTTGGCTAGGGCCTGCAGCAGGTGGAGTCTGTATGGCTGTCCTGCCTCGGGGCTCATGTCTGAAGGGCAGGGCAATTTTAGAGCTGTCCAGGCTCGGATGGCGAGAGGAGAAGCACCAATTTGCGCTCATGCAGCCAATGCAGCCAGGGCCTGGCGACTGCTTGCAGTGGGTGTTCTGGCTTGGGACAACACCAGTCTGCAGAAGAGTGCATTCCTGCTCCGTCGCAGGTCGGGAGCCTGCAAGGCGCCAGTGTGATGGTCCTTGAGAATCCGGAGTGTAAAGGCAGTGCTTGTCGGAAGGAGCCTGTTTTACTGACCCTTCCTATGCCTACCTGGGCAAGTTGCAGGGCCAGGGAAGGAGGGTATTCAGCGGTCAGAGTGCTGAGGTATACCCCTTGTTCTTTCACGCCTGCAATGCTTTGGTGCTTGTATGAGTGATTGCAACGGGCCTCCAGGGCCCGTATTTTCGAACTGTTGCAGCCGAACGCCCACGACTTGGAGAAGGCTTTATTGCGCCTGCAGGCGTCTACCCACACCAGGGCACATTGGTGATCACGTAGCATTTGGAAGTTGGCCTCTTCCAGCCAGGACATGGCTGATGGCGGCTGTTCCCAAACGCCGACGCCTCCTTTGGAGACCACTGCTCTGAACAGGGCTCTGCCGCGGTCGTGGATGGTCTTGCTATCCAGCAGTTTCTTACGCTGTGAAGGCGAAAGGCCGGGGACCCCGTCCATATACTGCGGCGTTCGTAAGGCTTTGGGCCCGCCCGGACGTAGTTTGAGTCTGGAGTATTCTTTGCAAGGCGGGGCAAGCATTATCAGGGCCACGATCCCTGACCAGCAGAGTCTGAGAAGGGCCTCGAAGACTACGTTATCCAGGATGTCGTGCGCAGTGTCTCCATCTAGGTCAAAGGGCTCAAAGCAGTCAAGGCCAAGGCCAATGGCTGCCAACGTCACCGGGCGCAGCCTGCCTGCAAACACGTCCAAAAAGAGCCTTTTTTTTGAGGCTGAATGCAACGGTGACTCCGATGAGCTTGCCTGGGCGGGCGTGTGTGGCCTTGGCGAGGCGCCTGGCTCGCTACGGCGCGCATAGGGCAAGGCTGGAGTCAGGGCAGCTTCCGCTGGCACACGCAATGGTGAAAACGGCGCATGAGGCCCGCTGTGGGGCAAGGCCGGCAGCGGCATGGCTGCCCGATCCTGCGCCGGTCCAAGATCCGGGCTATTTCACGTGTGTTACACGTGATCCATGGCGGGGTGCTTTTGCTGGCAGCCCACTATGGCGCACACGTGGGCGAAATGGCACTGGTCATTAGTGCAAATGCCTGTCTGGTAGCGCCGGCAGACCTCGCGCCCCTTATAGGTAGTGCACCACTCTGCTTTA